TAATAAAAAAACTTTTTTTTAAGAGTAAATGTAATAATAATTAGTTTTAAAAAATATTAAAAATAAAAATTCTTTTTTTTTAACTTTTAATATGAAACAAAAAAACTTGGATTTATTTTTTCGTTAATAATAACGTGGCTTTAGAAAAAAAAAAAAATTTATTCTTGCAGATTAAAGTAAAGAGATTCGTAACTGTTTGACATTATACTAGAACATTAAAAAAAAAAAAAAAAAAAACTAAAGAAAAAAAAACGTAATATACTTCACTTTAATATTAATCCAAAATTGTTGATTGTAATATTTAATTTTTTGCTATATTGGAAAAATTAGAGTGGTTAAATTCAGTTAATTAATTCATTTGTACATATGTTTAATTAATCACAACATTTAATTTTTATTTACAAAACTGATCAATTTCTTTTTATAGGAATAAAAAACAAAATCATAAAATAACTGTTTATCTCACCAATTGTCAAATTTAATCTTTAATTAATCTAAACAACAACAAAAAAAAATGATAAACATAAACTGTTTGGATACAATTTTAATTTATAATTTTAAGTATTAATCAAAAAAATTGTTCAAAATAACATTTACGTTTTAGTTTTCTTTCAAACACTTGTATTTATGGTTGTGTTTGCTGCATTGCTTGTTGAAGTTTCTTCAGTATCTTGAAACTGCATTAATATTATAATATATGTTGTCACAGCTCCAACCATCTATAAATTATTTCATTTAAAACATTCAAAAAATGATAATTAATTTCAATGTAAAAATTTTAATAATAAGACATACAGAATACAATAATGTAAAATCCAATTTGAAAAATCCACAAGCATTAAATTCTACTTTCCTATGAAGGAGTTGCAAAGAAAATATTTCTATCTGTTGAAAATAAATAAAGTAATGTAATACATATACGATTTCATTTTAACAAACTTATGTAAAAAAAATAAACTTACCTCTTCTTTAACATCAACATCATCATTATCAATAAATAATTCATGAAGATAATTTGCTGTTTTTTCTGCCTGAAACAATCGATGAATACAACATTATTTAATTTTATATATTTTTCACTTTAAAATTTAGCCTTTATGAAATGTGTGATGTTAACATTTATAATAATATTTGAACTGATGTTTATTGGAAAACTGAGTTTTTTCATTTATTATCATACCTCTTGTACAGATAAAACAGAGACTATAACAATTCCAAAAAATTGTGAAAGAAAATAAAAAATTAATACAATCGATGCAAGAAGTTCACTTAATGCTGTAGGTGTCATATAATAAAAAACGGTTATGTAAACAATTTCAAAAAGAACGACAGCACTTATGCAAACTCCATATAGAGAAAATGTAGAAAAACATTGTTCAGTTAAATCTTTTATCCAACCATCAGTTTCAATAAGAAATTTAAAACCATTTAAATAATAATTTTTCCCCTCAGGACCTCCTGAATCAATCATTTTCAAATTTTTTTTATAACAATTACTTAATTTAATTAAACTTTTATTTATAAAACAATGAATTAATTTAATGAGGGTTAAATAAAAAACAAAATGGCAGCAAGTTAAATAACATATTAGTATCCGTAGAAAACTACATAAGAAAAGATAATACATAATTCCTAGGGAAACTTCTTTTATGGTTTTCAACATGACGATACCATCCGTTATGGAAAACACTAAAGAAAAACAAAAAGAAAAAATCGATAATCCAATTGATAATTTTTTTAATTCTCTCAAACGATATTGGGGTAAAAATTTCAATGAAAAATTATTTAATTGTTGAATTATATTTAACATTATTTTCCTTCTTAAAAGTATTAATAATGTACAACCCAAACAATTAACGGCAAATGTAATCGAATCGAGAGATTGTAAAAGTCTTTCGACAAAACTTGAAGAATCGTTTAATAAAATATATATCACAAATATACTCTGACATGTTAAATTCGTTAAAAATAATAATGAACTATATGTCGTTAATAAATGTGAATTTTCCATATTGTTTTTATTAAATGTATATGGCGCCATTCCGAAAACGCGCGACAAAAAAAATAACGGTTTAAAACCGTCAACTAAATTCATTGCACTAATATTATTAATAAAAAAAAAAATGGCTTTTTAATATTTTATATCATCATCATCACCTTGTCAAATTTTTCACAATTTTATATTCATGACAATAAAAATCGAAAATTTGACACACACACGAATCAACCAACCGTAAAACACTTAAATTAATTCATATTATAAATTTTTAATATAATAATAGTATTAATAAATAAATAATGAGTCTTACCTGTTTACACGTTATTATAATAAAAAGTAATTTGGTTATATAATTTAAAAAATAACGTAAAAACCAAACAATATATTCTTGAACTCCTAAAAATTTCGATGGATTAACAACGCCATAAAATGGAGTACAAACAAAAACGACAAATTCTTTAAAAGCGGATATTAATAAAACGGAACCGAAACAATCGTTAAAATCATCAACGATATTTAATGCCTCCCTATGATAAATTAAAATTTTTTTCAAATGTTTAATTTTATCATTATTTTTTTTCACGTATGTAATTTCGTTATTTATATCGTAAAAAATGGCTCCGACGTTTCCTATGTAAAAAAAAATAAGGATATCAATGGCGAGAGAATAAAAATTATACGTTGAAAAAAACCAATTACAATCACCTAAAACGGACATTTTTTTAACAACGGATGAATGTAAATAAAGAAAAAATTGAAAAAAACACAATGAGAAAATCCATTTCGTCGTCATGCCCGTTATTATTTTTTTTTTCGATTCGCCCCTTTTTAAATTTTCCCTCAATTTAATTATTTTAACCGCCATAGAACATAATTTTTGATTTTTTATTAAAATAATAAAAAATTCCAATATGACGACCGCGTGATTTCCAACGCTGTGAAGAATAACGAATATGAATGTGAAAAAATCATCGATTTTAACTTTCATAAAATAACAATATTCGATTCGTAAATGTGCTAATATTGATACTAATATTGTAGAATATATATATAAAGGATCCGACATTTTGAAAATTTTTTTCCTACTCTTACGATACGAAATCAAACCGAAAATTTGTAAAATTATGAGAAAAAAATCCGGGAAAAAATCCGTCGTGTAATTTTCCATAACCGAATCAAACCAATCAAACTATATCCCTGACTTAAGAAACTTTAATATAAATAATTATTATTATTATTATTATTATTTTATTAATTTATACTTAAATTAATTAAAATTTTAATTAATATTTAATGAAAAATTTTTTTAATACGATTAAAATCGTTATCGATTATTAAAAAAAAAAGAAAAAAATGACATTTTGTTCTTTACTTACTTCTTGTTTAGCTATTCTACAAGTATTTAATTTTAATAAAATTTTAATTAAATTAAAAGACGTCCATAGAAGAGTATCCATAACGTTAAACCAATTCATAGAGTAATATAAATCTTGAAATGGTACCGTTATCAAATCTAAAAATTCGCAACTTGTTATCACAAGAAGATATTTGGTAAAACAATTATTCACTTCATCGGAAACATCATACAGCTCCGAATTTATATATTCTAGATTTTTAAGAGGGGTAAAATTATTTTTGGGTAACGTTTTTAAAGTCAGATTAATTTTTTCCAAAGCGAAATATATATTTTTAACTAATATAACGAACAACATGTCAAAACCGATGAAAAAAAGAGAATTGAAAAAATAAAACCAAAGACAATAACCGAGTATTATGGTATTTTCGGTACTCAAAGACATAATCAATATCGATATAATTAAAGTGATTTCTATAATGATTAAATATGAAATACTATTCATTTGAGAATCGGTAGTATCGAGGGTAGTTTTCGATAGGGCATCGTTTAAATAATTTAATTTGTTAACAAAATGACAAATTTTTTTTGTTTTTCTAATTGCCATGTAATAAGCAATGCAAATGCCAAAACTTAAACAAACATTATCGGCGTTACTTAATAACATAATAACGAGAATTTTAGATTTTCTTATGTCGGTAAATTGATGACATGTCGATTGTACAAATGCTAAAAGTAAAAAAATTATAATCGAATAATATAATCTTTTTTTTGACGTTTTATATATATTATTATTATTATCACGTGTGAGATTAACAACACCGAGACACTGTAAAAAAATAAAATGATATTTTTTAAATAATGTAACCATTTTACATGCACAAAAAAATTTCGGAAGAATTTAAACTGATTTGAATATAAGAAAATTTTTTTCTTTTATATAATAATAATAATATTATTATTAAAATTTTCATATTTTCGTTCAGGCTCAACGATTTTAATTATATACGTACGTTTTTTTTATTATTATTGAAATAAAAATTTTATTATCGATTGATTGATCGGGATACAAACATAATTTGTTTGTATTAATGAATTATTTATTTATTAATTTTAGACATTTTATAAAAAAAAAAAAAAAAAAAAAAAAAGGGCTCAAATGTTTATAAATAATGTAAATGCCCTTATCAAGATGTTAATGATAATAAAAAAAATTTTAAGCGACCATCAAATCAATAATTTTCAATGATTTTCAATAAAATAAAATAAAATCAAATCATTAACAGATCATAATGGTTATCATTATTATTATCAATCAAATTCTTCGACTTTGATTCGTACCAAAAGTTCAGAAGACTAAAATTTTTCTATTCCTACAACATATTTACTTTTTTTTTTGTTCTTCTTGTTGTGGTAGTAACGAAAAAGAGAAAATTATAAAAAAAATTTTATTTAAAGATATTCCTTTTTTTTTTTTAAACATATTTTCGAGTGTTTTAAAATTGTTAACAACGTGTAAAACTATCTCAATAATAATAATAATAATAATTGTCTGTAGGAAAGAAGGATTCATTCTCCTCATATCATATAAACAATGTCATTTTAGTGATAACCCCTTGTTGTGATTTTTTTTTTTTTTTTTGTGTTGTTGCCTTGATATGAGAATCGTCGACCATCATAATTTCTTTGCAGAGTTTTTATAAACCACAAAATGAATAATAATAATTTTTTTATTTTAATTTTTTTTTATTATTACGTTTTGTTTTTAAATAAATTTGTTTTATGCGTGAGTGAAATTGTTATTTTGTAATCATTTCTCGAAAAGTTTTAATTAATCGTAAAAAAATAATAATAATAATTGTCATCCAAAATTATATAATTTATTTATAGTTTTATTATCAAAAGTGTTATTTTTTTAGGTAATTGATAAAAATATAGAAATTTCTACTAAACCTCCTGTTCATACGGAAAATTTACCCTGGCAATCAAATTTTGATTATCAATCACCATCAGGTAAAAAAATTTAAAATATCAGGTGATAATAAAAATGGTTAGTAATTAATGATAATGGCGTCAAATTTTTTTTATTTTTTTGTTTAGAATATTATAATGAAAATGATTTAAACGAGAATGAATTTATCGAAAGAAAAAATCCAGGAGTGATTTATACTCCATTTTCATTATGTCCTCCAGGAGAAACAGGACAATTTCAATATTTACCAGATTGTAAACGTTTTATAAATTGTTGGAAAGGAAGAGGTTCCATTCAGGTCTTTTAATTTTTTTTTTTTTTTTTTTGAAACCAAATCGTTTGATTTAAATAATATATATGTAATTATTAAAATATTAGGTATGCGCGCCAGGAAGTCTTTTTAATCCCGATACGAGAGAATGCGATTTTCCAGGAAAAGTAAAATGTCAAAATGGTTTTTTTGGTAATCAACTTCCGCAACCGACTAAAGAAAGATATGTTCGTTTTCCATATCAAAGACCAGCAATTGCTTATAATCCCAGAATTGCAAGAAATCAAAATCATCCGTCAATTGAAGAAACCATTCCAGCGAAACCTTATCCCGGAAGACCTCCTTATTTTGGACCATCACATTTAAAACCACCAACAAGACCATCAACACAACCGAAAAATGTTAAACCTTTGTGTCCTTTAGGTATGTGAAATTATCAACTATGATAAACGACAGTGACGACTTGTTAAAGTTTTTATTTATTTTTGTCAGGAGCAACAGGACTTTTTCCACATCCGACAGATTGTTCTAAATTTATAAAATGTTGGAGCGGAGGAACTTTTGTTCAAAATTGCGGACCTGGAACTTTTTTTAATCCTCTCATCAGTGCTTGTGATCACCCACGTAATGTCGCCTGCACTCACGAAGAAAGTACAGAATTACCAAAAGGTATGTAATTATTTATTTTACAACAATAAATTAATAAATAAATAAATTTTTAATTTCGGTAAAAAAATTTCGTGTTTAATAATACATAAAAAAAAAAATAATAATAATTTTTTATTGAGGTAAGAAATTTTAAAATAAATATTTACTGGCTGGGTAAAACTTAAATTTATTTAATTTCGCTTATTTTTTTTAAATGTAATTTTAAAAAGGTGAGAAATTTGAAATATTTTTTTTTTTTAAATAAACAATTAAAAATAAAATATAATAGGTCTTCAAATATTTTTTAGTTGATACGATTGAAATTTACGAGCCGGAAGAAAGTGTAAAAATCGAACAAGTCGTTAAATTAGATAAAAATGAAAAATTAATCAAAAACGAATTGAAAAAAAATACATCGAAGGAAATCAATCGTCCAACAGCACCGGAAGTAACGTTGGATCAAAAGAAAGAAGGTTCAGAAAAAAATACATCACAAAGACATCCGAAAATAATAAATTCTCAAGACGTAAGAAATCAAATATTGAAACCTGAACAAAATAATCGTTTTGTACAAATACCATCACAACAAAAAGAAAATAATAATAATTATTTTCATTCGAAAAATAACAAACCTGAAAGAATCGATTCTAACGTGAATCAACCTGTTGGATCCTTCGAACCCAATTCTTATAACGTTCATATTAATTTAAATTATCCTTCTCAAGGACCTTATTCTGTCCTTCCTCAAGTAATACCACATAAACAAAATTTCGATTCTCAAAAATTGAATTCAAATCAAAATTTTTTCCCTTATCAGAATCAAGGAAGGTATTTGGATTATTGGCGCGAATATTTTTATCGTTTGCAACAACCTTACACAATTCAAAATATTCCCAACACTCCCTCTGAATTTTTACAGCCTCCTCCGCTACAACAAAACTTTTTCCCATATGCTCCTAATCACGGCCACGTTCCCGAATATAATACTATTTATTCTAATAATCCCCAACTCACTAGACCTTGCGTTCCCGATCCTAATAATCCCAATCAAAACAATTTCAATGCTACCAACTGCGTTTCAATCAAAAATGAATATTTGAATGAATCCCCCAAAGAAGTAAATTCACCTAACGGTATCAAACAAAATCAATTTTTACCTGGTTTTCCTTACTATGACACAAAAAATCAAAATTCTCAATCCTACGCTACACATTTTAGTTCTCCGACATATTCTTACAATATCTCACCGAACAGCCCACTACCAAATGGCAACACCCTTAAATCAACTTCGAATTCTCAATATCAACCAAACTTTGGAAATACGGGAAATAAAATTCAGGGACCATTGAATCATAACCCAAATGTTTATTCTACTCTTCCATTGAATTCATATCCTCAAAAAATAAATAATAATAATATGAATCCTTATAATGCATTTTACCCCAGTCAAATTCCAGTATCAAATCCCAATTTTCAAGGTTACTCCCAAAATAATTACATGACGTATCCCGTACAAATTTCTCAGAATCCTAACAACCCTTATCAGGGTCCACCTTTCCCCTCCAATTATTTTAATCCAACCAAAACTCAACCAAATTATTATCCATCAGCTCCTGATTCATATTCACCCAATTTTAATAATAACGCTTTTCAACATTCCGACGCAAACCAAAAACAAAACATTCCTTCATTCGATCGACCCGATACTTTGAAAGGTACCGATAAACAAAATTTACCGTTTACACCAGTTAACACCCCTGATCAAATAAACAATAAAATACAACCCCAAATAATTACAGCAACTCCCAACAATATTCATTCATCAACCACACCTCCTAATTTTATAACTGAAAAAGAATCCCCTAAAGAACCTTTTCAAACTTCTAACGGAAATGGTAAAATTGATTTCAATCCGATTCATCAAACGAAACCATTTTTAAGTACAATCGATGTCAGAATTAATGATGATTCTTCAAAAGAAAACGTGACAGGACTTCCGGATGATTTGACACTGGCAGAAGCATTGGATATTATATCGGAAGATAAATTATTTCCGAACGGTTTCAATGAAACGTCAACAGCGGATAAAAATAATGAAATTCAGGAAAAAATTGATGCAGAAGATGAAACGACTACTACTGCTACTACTACGACAAGAGTTATTCAGCCAGAAAACGATTTTGAAATTTTTAATCAAGAATCGATAACGGAAACAAAACCTACAAAAGTACTTAGTAAACCTTACGTTAAAATCAAACAAACTCCGCCAAATGGTCAAGTTGTTAGATTAAGAAATGGTGCGAGTCATTTGGATGGATACCTTGAAATGAAAAATACGGATTCCAAATGGGGATTGGTTTGTGATAAGGTAGCAGGTTGGGGAATAGAAGAAGCCACTGTGGCATGTAGAGAACTCGGTTTTATCAGGTACTTTTTTATTGAATTCTACCCTTATTTTTGGATAATAACTAATTTGAATCAATCGTTTTAGGGGTGCTGAATTGGCTTGGCAAGGATATCCTATAAAATCCGACGCAGAAAAATTCGATATATCGTTTCAAGTAATCAATTGCACCGGAGAAGAATCTTCTTTGTCCGAATGTGAAATAACAAACGATATAGAAAACGAATGTAATGTAAGAAAATTTTTTTTAAAATTAATTAATTATAAATAAAATCCCTTTTTTTCCAATAATAATTTTTTTTTTTTTTATAGATTGGTAGGAATGCTGTCGGACTACGTTGTTTTGATAATTTAGCATCTCACTGTCAGCCGGAAGAAATATTATACAATCAACAATGTTATAAACTTTTCGGTAAAGAAAATCCTGATGATCCAGGAATAAAAACGGAAGAAGCATCAGATACGTGTAAAAAGTTTGGCGGAAAATTACTTGACATAACTTCTCAGGTTTATAATTTTTCTATTTTGATTCCCGAATCCCCCTCCCCCCGATTCGAATTGATTTTAATGTAAAATATTTAAAAATTTTAGTTCGAAAATGATTTCATATCGGAATGGTTGGTAAAAAAACATCCTGGAGTCACTTCGGTCGTGACGGGAGGCATTGGTATATCGGTACTGGGAAGACCCATGTGGATTTGGGAGGGAACAAGCGATCCTATGGTTTTTGAAAAATGGTGGAGTGGTAAGTGCCCTCAAAAAAAAAATTTTCTTTTCATGCGATAACGATTATCGGTCATGATAAAATAAAATTAATTTAATTTTAGGATGGTCGGGAGATAAAAAAATACCGAGAGGATCCATTAACGGACCCCTGTGTATTGTTTTAAAAAAAACTTATGCTTGTGAGGATGATGTTGATGTTGAGGAAAAACAAAAAGAGGTCGAAATTTTTACTTATCTTAATTAAAAATGAATAAAATAAATAATAATAATAATATTTAGGGGAAAACAATTTTATACGTAAATTTTTTTTTTTTTTTTTTAGGCTACGAGTGAAGAAACTTGTTCGGCAGATTATTTTTTCTGGGACGTAGAAGATTGTAGTAAAATTCAAACTTCTGTTTTTATTTGCGAAAGGCCCATGGATGACATTGGTATAACACGATAAAAATTTCAATTCGTCAAAGAGTTGTTTGTTACCCCTTTTTGAATTATTAACCGAAAAAATTTTTATTTGAAATTTTTAAGGTTGCGTCGTGGGTAACGGTGAAGGATACGTAGGTACGGCAAATACGACAGCATCGGGACAAGCGTGTTTACCGTGGGATCATCCAAAAGTTGTAGAAGGTTTAGCCCGACGAAAAACAATGCAAGAAAGATCATCACGTTTGATAGGTCACAATTACTGTAGAAATTTGGGTAATCCCGATCGTCACCCGTGGTGTTTCGTAGAAGGACAAGGGAATTCCGAATATTGTGCCATACCTCAATGTTGGGATTTTGGTAAAAATTAAAAAATCCTAACTGAAAATGACTTACGATTGCTGAATTTAATTTCACGAAATCCGCCAGAAGATGTTCTCAAGCAAACAACCTGCCTGCCTGAAGTTTTTTAAAAAAAAAATACAACCATATTAGGTTTTTTTTTTTTTTTTAAATAAATAATTTAGAGTTAATGTCTGTGAGAAATAGTTTTGTTACTCATCAATTAAAAAATATATATATAAAAAATTATTTTTTAAACGTTAATTGTTGTTGTTTATTAAAAAAAAAAAAAAAAAAAAAAAAAAAAACCTATCCTATGAGAGGTCATAGATAAATGGTTGGATATAAGTGAATGTAAAGACAGAATCGTAAGTCAACCTCTTATTTATGACAATTTAAAATCATCATTATCATCATAATAATAACACATAAAATATCTATTATGTCAAGTTTTACGAATAAATGAGTAGTAAAATAAAAAAATATAAATTCTTACCTTTTTGACTGATGATTGGCATGATAGTTTCAGGGTATCACCGATCCCACGCCGGGTATTCATCATGTGATGAAAATCATTTTGAATGTAAACCTGGAGAATGTATAAAAAAAACATGGGTCTGCGATGGACAAAAAGTAAGAAAATAATAATATTATTAACTAATATTAAATTTCTACTGACGCGTTCGAAAATTATTATCATTATTATTAATAATTTTTATAGGATTGTTCAAATAATTCAGATGAAGATATGTGTAAAGCTTTTCTTAAAGAATTTAAAATTTATAAAAATAAAAAAATGCAACGTAATTCAAACGAAATGTGGCCAAACATAAATGAAAACATGTGCGCAAAATTATGTTTGAAAAATAAAAATTTCAAATGTAAATCCTTTAGCTTTGAGTAGGTACTAACCATCTGATATTTCCACGTGAACTTTGAACTTTATAATGTACCTTATGAAATATAAAAAAATTTTTATTTTTCAGTTTGAAAAATATGTCATGTCTTCTAAGCGACAGTAATATCGGATTGTCTGGACAAGTTATTAACCAAAAAAATTGGGCTTATTACGAAGTTATAAAAGAATCCCTACAATGTAAATTAGAAGATGGATTTTATGGTTGTCTTAATGGAAAATGTATAAACATATCAAATGTTTGCGATGGTAAAAATCATTGCGGTGATGGTTCAGATGAAAATAATTGCGAAAAACTTGGCTATGGAATAAGATTGGCCGGAAGTAATGAAAAATTTAAAGGGAGAGTAGAAATAAGAAGTAAATATTTGATTATTTCTTAGTTTCATCCATAAATTTTTTTAAAATTTGAATTAAATTTTGTAAATATTGAATTTAGTTTTAGGAAAATGGGGAGTTATATGTGACGACATGTTTGATTTAAGGGATGCTGATGTTGTATGTAGAGAATTAGGTTTTCGACTTGGAGCAGCCGAAGTGCTACAACATTCACATTTTCCCCTTAAAAATCCATTATTTTTAGTTGATGATTTAGATTGTTATGGAAATGAAACATCCATAAAGGAATGCACGTTTCCGGGATGGGGTAAACACAATTGCGGAGCTCAAGAAGTTAGTTACATTTTAAATTTTTTTTTTGAAAAAGTGAAAGTTTAGCATAAAAAAACGAATTATAAAAATTTATTTTTACCTTTTAGACCGTTGGAGTGATTTGTAAAGTTCCTGGAGTTGAGTGTGCCAATGGTCAATGGCAATGTAAACGTAGTAAAGAATGTATATCCATTCCCTATCTTTGCGATGATATTCCAGATTGCGATGATAATTCGGACGAAGATCGAGAAATGTGTAAAGCAAGTTGTAACCTGTAAATTAAAAAAAAAAAAATTTATATTAAATGTTGTAAAATGAATTTAATTTATTTATATGTTACTGGCAAAATTTTTTAAAAAATGGCTACCATCGAAAAAAAAAGGGAAACAATACTAAATATATGTCATCTGAATTGTTTCCCATCATTGTTTAAATCCATTAAATCTATTTTTTTCTTGCCAGTAACATATAAATGTATAAATAATAATGATAACAATAAAAAATTTAATAATTGACAGTCTCCTACCCAACTTCGACTTGTCGGTGGTCCAACGCCATCCTCTGGTCGATTAGAAATACGTCATTTGGGAATTTGGGGAACCGTTTGTGATGATGATTTTAACAACGAAGCTGCCGATGTGGTTTGCAAGTAAAAAAAAAAAAAGAAAATATTTCTCTTAAAATTATTTTTTTTTTAAATTTTCCTATTATTATTATTATTACATTTTACAATATTTTAGGTTGTTAAATTATAACGGGACTTCCATAGTAAAAAAAAATGCTTACTTTGGACCTGGTACAGGACCCATTTGGTTGGACGAAGTACATTGCATTGGAAATGAAACATCCCTGGAAGAATGTGCTTATCCTCAATGGGGTAGAAATAATTGTAAACACGATGAAGATGTTGGAATTATTTGTAGCAATCAAGATTCAAATCAGGTTAATTATTACTTCTGCAAATGTTTTCTAAAAAATAAAAATTATTATTAAAAATTTATTAATAATTTAAACGGGATTAACCAATTTTTTTTATTTTAAATAAATGATTTTGAAAAAATTAAGCAAAGCATAAATTTTTATTGGTAGAAATCAGCTGGAGGAAAAAGACCCATTGCAACAAGTTCAAGTGACAATAATCCCAACATTCCTTCAAAAGAAGAAAAACTAAGAGAAGTTTTAATATACGAATGTAATAATAATAATAAACAAAAGGGAAAATCGATATTTTATGAAAGAGTAGTAGGTGGAACGAATATCAATAGAGAAACAGCACCTTGGCAGGTATATGATAATAATAATAATAATTTTCCTTGTAAATTTTGTTTTTTAAGAATCATATAATTTGGAAACTTAACTTTTTTTAGGCGAGTATTCGAGTGAAATCTGGAGGTGGAAAATCTGTTCATTGGTGCGGAGCTATTGTTATTTCTCCTTATCATATTTTAACGGCTGGTCATTGTCTACGGGATTATAATAAAGCTGCTTATTTCATTAGAGTTGGAGATTTTGATACCGAAGTAAGAAAAAAAATTTCAATATGAGTTTTCAAGTTTCCTATTTCTCATCAAGTTGTAATTTTAATCCTGAAATTAAACTTTTTAATTTCAAATATTTAACTTAAATAAATAATAGTAAAAATAAGAGTTTAAAAAAGGGGGGATTTGGTTTAAATAATTTTATATAGGTTTTAGATCCCTACGAGCAAGAATTGGAAATAGATCATCTTTACATGCATTCAAATTTTAGTAAAAAAATTAACCTTAACAATGATATCGGTCTGGTAAAAGTCAAAGGAGAAATAACTTTAAATGAGCAAGTGAAACCTGCATGTCTTGCGCCAACGACTGAATTATATCGTCCTGGAACAAATTGTACAATATCCGGATGGGGTTCTGTTTCCCCACATTCAGCAGGTATAATTTATTCCTAATTATTCTTTCTAAAAATTTAATTAAAATTTACATGTTATTATATTTTAAATAGGTTTCGCAAGAACTTTAAGAAGAGCTTACGTACCTATTTTAGAGCCCAGCGTTTGCAGAGCACCCTTTGTCTACGGTGAAAGTCTCAGCGAAGGAATGTTTTGCGCCGGTCAACTAGACGGAGGAGTTGATTCTTGCCAAGGGGATTCGGGGGGACCTTTAATGTGTCACAATAACGGTAATTATCATTAAAATACTTTTAAAATATTTTTAAATACAATGTGCACTGATGTATATTTAATATCGGTAATTATAAGTCAAACATCATTACCTCAAAACATACATCACGCACTAAACAAATAATTAATAATGAATTTTAGGTAAAGAATACCTTTTTGGCATCACCAGCTGGGGTCATGGATGCGGTAGAGCCAATAAACCTGGAGTATATACAAATGTTGCTTTTTACTCGCAGTGGATACAAGAAAAAATTCGCTTGTCTTTAGTTTAAAATCTGTATTGCAAAATTATGTAGTTGAAAATAATATGTTAAATTAGTTATAATATAATAATGATATAAAAAAAAAAAAATAATTTAATAATTTGGTCTTTATAAAAGTTAAAATTATAAAATAAATAAAATTAATTTTTTTTAAAAAAATTAAATTTAAAAAATCTTATTTAGGTTAAGGAAAACCAAAACTTAAAAAGGCCTAAATTGCTACAATCAGATACATTTTTTAAATTAAGCTTTATTTAGTTCGTTTTTTTTCCAAAGAGCATTTTAAACGAAATCGAATTTTAATTTTAAAATTTAGTGTACAAAATTTAAACGTAAAGTTAATCGTTTAGTTTTCGTCGACTACTTCTTCTTGTTCTTCATCGAATTCGGCATCTTCATCAGCGGTGGCTTCTTGGTATTGTTGGTATTCAGATACAAGATCGTTCATGTTAGATTCAGCTTCGGTAAATTCCATTTCGTCCATACCTTCTCCAGTGTACCAATGCAAGAAAGCTTTACGTCTTTAATAAAAAACAAAAAAATCCAATCGTTAATATGAATATTAATATTGCATTATTATCTTTAAAAAAAGGTTTTTTGTTATTCTAAATATCAATACCAACCTAAACATAGCAGTGAATTGCTCGGAAATTCGTTTGAAAAGCTCTTGAATGGCAGTTGAGTTTCCAATGAAAGTGGCAGACATTTTTAATCCTCTAGGTGGAATGTCACAAACAGCAGTCTTAACGTTATTTGGAATCCATTCAACAAAGTAGGATGAATTTTTGTTTTGGATGTTCAACATTTGTTCGTCAACTTCTTTCATAGACATTCTTCCACGGAAAACAGCAGCAACCGTAAGGTATCTATGAAAAATTAAAATTTAAAAATTAAGTAAAATTCATAGAAATTAAAGTGTTTAAAAAAAAAAGAAAAAAATAAATCAGTAAATTACCGTCCATGACGAGGATCACAAGCAGCCATCATATTTTTAGCATCAAACATTTGTTGAGTCAGTTCTGGAACAGTTAAAGCTCTGTATTGTTGAGAACCTCTAGATGTCAATGGAGCAAATCCAGGCATGAAGAAATGTAAACGTGGGAATGGGACCATGTTGACTGCGAGTTTCCTCAAGTCAGCGTTTAATTGACCAGGAAATCTAAAATTAAAAAAAAAAAAAATTAAATAAATAAAACTTATAAATAGAAATTATTAATTAAATAGGGCCTTCGACTAACTGTTAGCTGGCGAAATCTTAAAAATTTAGATTCTAATGATAATGAAATAATTGCAAGTATTAAATGAGAAAAAATATCTTACCTAAGACATGTTGTGACACCGGACATTGTAAGAGATACCAAATGGTTCAAATCTCCGTAAGTGGGGGTAGTAAGTTTCAATGTTCTAAAACAAATGTCGTAGAGAGCTTCGTTGTCAATGCAGTAAGTTTCATCGGTGTTTTCGACAAGTTGATGAACAGAGAGGGTTGCATTGTATGGTTCTACCACAGTATCAGAAACCTTTAAAAAAAAAATAAAAGACAAGTATTACAAACACCGATAATTGAATTTTGAAAAAAAAATTTCGAAGGGTAGACTATCTATATCTTACTTTTGGCGATGGTACAACGGAATATGTGTTCATAATTCTGTCGGGATATTCTTCTCTTATTTTGGAAATGAGTAAGGTACCCATACCGGACCCGGTGCCTCCTCCCAAAGAATGTGTAAGTTGAAATCCCTATAATAAAAGTAAAGCATTAGAGAGACTTATACAATGCTTGAATAAAATTCGGCATAAAAATAATAATAATAAAGACAGTAATAAAGTACCTGAAGACAATCACAACTTTCTGCTTCTTTTCTGACAACATCAAGAACGGAATCTACCAATTCCGCTCCTTCTGTATAATGTCCCTTAGCCCAATTGTTTCCTGCCCCAGATTGCCCAAAAACAAAGTTGTCAGGTCGGAAAATTTGGCCGAAAGGTCCACTACGGACAGAGTCCATAGTGCCAGGTTCTAAATCAACTAAGATGGCTCTGGGTACATATTTGCCTCCTAAAAAAAATTTTTATTAAACAATTATTGAAAAAAAAAGTCATGGATGAACAAACACGAAAATAACTGGTTTAAAAAAAAAGAAAAAAACCTCATTCAAAACATTAAGTACCTGATGCTTCATTGTAATAAACATTGATTCTTTCCAATTGTAAATCGGAATTTCCGTGGTATGCTCCAGTTGGGTCGATACCATGTTCATCAGAAATTATTTCCCAAAACTAGAAACAAAAAAAAAAAAAAAAAAAAAATTAAATTTTTTTTCCTTTACAAACTTATGTAGATCATATTGTTAACATATGAAAATAACCAACAAAATAATAAATTGTGTTCTTTTTCTTTTTCCTTCAAATTTTTTTTTTAACTAAAAATTCATTTAATTAAAATTTAAAATATTTAACTAAAGGGGAAAATGTGAATTGTTACTAAAAACTTCATAAAATAGATTTTTAATTAAAAATAATAAAAAAAAAAAAAGAAATTAAATTATAAATGCTGAAAATGAAATTACCCAAACTCAAATTATAGCAATTACATTAAATTGCCTTTAACCCAATCGAAAAAAAAAACCTATAATCAATTTTTTTTTGAATTTTTCAAAAGGCAAATACTGTTTTTTTTTTTTTTTTTTTTTGATTCAATCAAATCCAAATTGAAAATTTTATAAAATTTCATCTGGAACTTAAAAAAAAAAATTCACAACCTTTTCATTTTTATATTTTTTTTTGTAATTGAACAGCAAAAAGAAATAAAATGAATAATTTTAAATTTACATAATTTCCCCTTTGCAGTCTTTTGAAATTCAAGCAAAATCAATAATCTGGAGTCTTCCAGTAGACCAGCACAAGCCAAAAAAAAAAAAAAAAAAAAAAAAACTTTTCGATTCCAAATTACTACACTCAAGTTTCATAGTTACAAAAAAATTTAAACATTTTAACAGCAAGTTTTTTTTTTTTTTTTTTTCATTCATGATTTAAAAAATTCTATCGAGTTTAATTTTGTAATTTAAAAATAAAAAAAAAAAAAAAAAAAAAAAAAAAACTTTTACAAAGTAAAATTCATATTAAATGTAGAAAGAAACAAAATTCACTACATTTTAACTTCATCAGTAGAGAAAGAGAGAAAGAGAAAAAAAACAAAAGCATCTAAGCGAAAGGTCAATCCTAATTAGGCAACTTCCTTTCAAAATTAATTTAAATAAATGAAATCATAGGAAATTGGATTTGAGTGTAATTACAGTTGAACCATGATTGCTTTGTAAATAACTTTGACTACTTATAAATAATTGAGTAGTAGTATTAAATAGAACGTTGAACTCTTACACGACCAACTCGCTTTAACCAAATGGAAACAAAAAAAAAAAAAAAAAAAAAATTTTTTTTTTTTTTATTAATGGTGTGCCTCGCATCGTGCATTTCAATTTTTCGCATATTATATAAAATTACTAAAACTAATTAATGCAGCAACATTATTTCCTTTTAACATTTTAAATTAAAATAATTTTAAATAATAATTTTGACATTAATATTTCAAAAGCATACCGAAAATTTTTTTTTTTTTTCTTTTTTTTGTTCGTCTGTGAGGCAAAAGCTTGACAATTTTAATTTTTTTTTTTTTTCAAACTATTTTACAAACAAATGTCTTCTTTGAGTATGAATATTTATACGGTTTAAAAATGGACGTTTGACATCAAGTTTTACTTTGGAATAAAACAAAAGATTCGTGCATCTGTAAAAGTATTATTAAAGTATGACCTCAATAACTTTCAAGTGTCGAACTTATGCCGACATTGAATGAAATTAAATATGATTTCACATTATTATTATTATTATTATTATTCTTTTTTAAAACTAATTTAAATACAAATTTTAGTTTTTGTTCGGTTTCGATTTTTAGTCAACTCTAGCACAAAAATCGATTTTTATTTCTGAATTAATTAGCATTATTATTATTATTCACGTCAAGTTAAAATATACATAATAATTTAATGAAAAAAAAAAGAAATAGTTTATAGAAGAAATAAAACGTGTTATAACAGGCAGGTGTTTCCCAAGCCCTTTTGGCGGTTAAACAGCGTCGGTTCTCAACAAAAAAAAAAAATTGAAATATGTCATGGAATCGATCCCCCGTTTTTTTCTTATTCTATTTTTTTTTCTTTCTTTTAAATTAAAATTACTTTAAAATAATCCAATTTTTAAAATAAATAAAAGAATTAATATCTAAACAAGAAAATAATTTGGGTTTAAAACGTTAATCATGAATTGTTAAATTTCACACAAGAAAAATTCAATATGGCGAACGCATTTATGACAGCGAGAGTAACCATTGGAAAAAAAAATTTATAAACTGAACTTTACCTTGGCACCAATTTGATTACCGCACTGTCCGGCTTGAATGTGAACAATTTCCCTCATGTTGAATTAATTTGTTAATGAACACAATCAAAAAAAATTTAATTAAATAATAAAAAAAACTTTTAGACGTCTCAACTCCTCTCGAGTTCAATTACAAGTGAAAGAAACTTGGAAGTACTTGATGATTCTAACGTTTTCAAGTCGGAACAACGCCCATACCGCCGCAATCTAAAAAGACCGCATACAAACTTATCTTAAACATGTGGTTTTAAATTTTTTTTACATTTTATTTTTTATTTTACTCTTACCTATGTTTGGCTTATGTTTACTTTACACAATAAAAACTATTAGTATGTTTAACTTATGATAAAAGTAATTTTTTGAAAATTATAATTTAGCGATTCAATGGTAGGCGATCAATGTTGGACGCCATTTTTGATTTTGGTTCTGAATTCCTGTCTAATTCCTGGTTTATTATGCATTTAAATAAATATGACGCTCTTTTTTTTTTTTTATATCAACTAGCGTAAATACATTTTCATTCCTTATATTAGGATTAATTTTCTTTTTTTTTTTTTTTTTTTTGCAAATGAGAGAAGGCTTTATTTCCAATAAATTAATTCTTTTATTATTCTCCTGAAAAAAAATAAGTGTTTAAAAAAAAAAACTAAATTTAATTACCCAGAAAATAAAATATATATTTATAAATAATCTTTTTTTAAACAAAAACGGCCCGAAGTGTTATAATTAATATTTTTCTAGAAAAAAAAAATTTGTGTGTAAATAAATTAGCTGCGAATTCTCATAAAAAATAAAAACAATTCCAGACTTTTATTGTAATTGTTTTTGTTAAGGTTCTTGACTTTGAATCATAACAGCAAATAAAATTTTTTATTGCGTTTCTAGACTCCTTTCATTTTAATTTTAGATTGTGAGCCTAAGTTTATTTTACGCTTTAAAAAAAAAAAAAAACCTATATACTGGATTGAATTAAACCTACGGCTGCTAACCGAGCAATTCAATTATCGTCGCCATTGATTGTGAAGGTTCTTCACCATCTGCTCATTTGAACAGAAATTTTAAAATTTTTTCCGGTTCTGAAACACACATAATCATAAATAAATTTTTTGAAATTAATAAATAAGAATGAAAACATTTACCATTGCAATTATTTACTCGATATTCGAAATTAATTAAAAAAACATCAGCATTAAGGGAAATTTGAAAAAATGTTATAAAACCATAGATTAAACCTAAGTTGGTATCTATGGTTTCAATTTTTTTACAAGGACTTGAAAACATAAAAAAATTATTTTAAAATTACAAAAGGATTTAGCTTTGTTAATTTAAAAACTAAATTAAAAGGTAAAAACACCTACAAATCCACATAAAAAATAAAATCCATGATAGATATTCCTTGAAAAAAAATTATAAAAACAGTTTACAAGGAGTAGTTTATTGTAATAAACCGTTTACTATTTTCGTAATAATGTGACTCATACGCGGGCAAACGTATGACGTCATTTTTATAAAAATTCATTTTCGCCATATTTAGATTTCTTAACAACCAAATGTTCATATAAAAAAAAATCAAATGACAATTTTTTAATAAAAAACAAACGAAAAAACTTGTTTTTTTTTTTTTTTTTTTTATAAATTATTTTAATACAATAACTCCTAAATACCTTTTTTAATGGAATATTTATAAAATTTGTTATTTTCAATCTCAATGTAAAAATGCTATATATTTCAAATGGCTTAAAAAATGTCTAATTTTTTTTTTTTTTTTAACAATAGTTTTTCAAAATATTTTTTAGTTTGTTTTTTAAAATGGTTCTATCTTTTTTGAAGGTCATAGTTTATAAAGTTTTAAATTACATAAAATATAAAATTATGTATGAGATCATTATTCAATTATCTTATTTATAAAATTTAAAATATAAATTAAAAAATTTTTTATACTGAATTAATATGAAGAAATTCTAGTTTTTAATTTCAGTTTCAATGTCCTAATTTCTTAGAATATTATCATTTACAAATAAAAATTTATTAAATTTAATTTTTACTACACATAACCTTATAAAAAGGTTATAAATTTTACTTTTTATGGTAAAAATTTAAATAATTCTCAACTTATATGTGAAACATAATTATATAATGTATATTTTATTATTATTAATTTTTTTTTCTTTAAATTTCTTTTAATATGAACAAAACAAAACAAAACTACAATTAATAAATAAATATTAAACGTTAAAAAACAATCAAATATTGATACAATAAAAATGCTGAGTTTATTATTTTTTTTTTTAAAATGACATAATACACTCTTATAGTAATACTTTTCTTAGAACAAATTAAAATTCAAGTATTATATTTTTAAATTTTCCTAAAATAAATTTTTATTTAAAAATAAAAACTTTTAATATTATATAATTTAATTATAGGAATAAGATTAGATAGTGAGTAAATATAAAAAAATATAAGTATGGAGGATTTATTTTATTTTAATCATTATTATCATTTTAAAAAAAAAATTCATTGAACAATATTCCTGTAAATATTAATTTTTAATAAATTGTTTTTTTTTTGGAAATAGTAACACACATTGAAACGTTATTGATCTTTTTTTTTCTCCCCCCAAAAACTACCCTTGATGAGTCAGCAATGAGTCATGGAGTAAATGATTTTTTTTTAAACGTTAATTTGGTGCAGGGTGCATTAAAATAATAATAATAATAATATTAAAGGTAAATTCGATATGAATCCTGCGTGATGTCTACTATAATTAATTTTTATAAAAGTTTAATAAACAATTGATAAACAGTCATAATAATTAAATAAATACATACAGATACTTTCATTTCCAGATAAACTATTAAAAAAAAAAAAAAAACAAAAGTTTACCAAATAAGGATATTGTTTGTGGTTAGCAATTTTGGCAACAACGTAAAGTGTGGGTATTTCATATATACGGTATGCCGTAAAAAGACTTTTAAACTTTAAAAAAAAATTAGTATACTTGAGCCCACATGAGTTGTTTTTGCCATTTACAGATAAGGCCACATCGTAACCTACGCAAACAAGTGGATGACGACTTGTTTTAGGCCATTTTAATGTGTTTTTTAAAACTTATTTCAACCCACTTTCTAGTCATTCTCATGATGAAGTTCACTGTCGAAACAGAATTTCCTAAATAAAAAAAAAAACTTTATAAGTATTAAAATCTTTTAACTTTTAAACATATAAACGTGATTTCAATAACCTAATTACAAATTTCAAAAAAAAAATCTAAATGTAAAATTTTAATTTTATTCATTTATAACATGCGTGGTATAAAATAAGATATATGGTACATATTAATTATAGCAAAATTCAAAATGGCCTCCAATCTGTGAAACAATCCCACTCGCAGTATAATAATCAATTGTAAATTTAATTTATAAGGTCGTAATCAGGTAAAAAATGGAAATTTATAAAAAAAAAATCCATGGCTTCTTCTTCTCACTTCCCGTTTTACTATTTTTTATTTTTTTTTTTTAGGGGGGTTACATTCAATTGATATTTCTTTTGATAATAATAATAATAATAGTGTGTTACTATATACCCTTTATTCCAAACAATTTTTTTCAATAATAATAATAATAACAAGGGTTTGTTTGCTTAGGTAGAAAATTTTTTTTAAAAATTTATCTTTTTAATGGTAGATGATATTTTTTTTTAAATCTCATACCAACGTTACCACAAAATATTTTTTTTTAATAGTTAAAAAAAAAAAAAAACCGTTATTATTACGTATGAGAAGAAGTAAATTTACTCTTATAGGTATTCAATAATCCTACAATTCTACCTTAAAACAATTTCATTCAATATACAATAATAATAATTATTATTATTTTTAATTTTTTTTTTTAAATATAAATTGGCAAGTGAATCTGCGTATATAATTAAATAAATAATTAATTGAACATTTCATAAAAAAATAATTTTTACATTAAAACATTCAATATTTTGTAAAAAAAAAAAAAAAAATTTTTTTTATAATTCAGTTGAATGGTTGTCATGTTATCCTTGACAAAATGTTAAAAAACATTGATTCTATGGTTCGTTGGTTATTATTATTATTATTATTATTATTATTAGGCACGCAATCATTTACCAAAACCATAGGAAGAATAATTATTGTAAAATGATTCACATAAAAAAAAAAAAAAATATATATCAATTATCAGAGCATAAAGCTCAAACTCAAATTATTATAACTTTAATTAGTTTAGTAAAAGATGTTGATGTTGATTAACCGACCTAAAATTTATCATAATAAATACCTTATTTTAATTTTGTACCTATGCTAAAATTTAAATATAAACTAAATAATTATTTATATAAATTAGTTTTAGTTGTTAGTCTATTGTTACTTAGTATTAATTATTAATATTTATTTATTCATTTTTAAAAATAAAAAAATAATTGTTGCAACAACATTATACATTAATTGTATCTTCATTTTAAATTTATCAAACCAAAGTAATTATTTTAAAAATTAAAAATGAAAATTTGACACAAATTTTACTATAAATTTATTGTAAAAAAAAAAAATTTGTTTTTATAAAGAATTAAAATTTATTTGGGTGTACATTAATTTTTTTTTTTTTTATTACGGGAGTAAATTTTTCGCCCAAATTTTTGATTAATATAAATGTGTTCAACCATGCAAAAAAACTCTTTTAAAAAAACACAAAATGATGTAAATTCTTTTTTTTTTTTACATTCAAAATGATTTTATAGAAATTAAAAATTGTTTTGTTTAAATATAATTTAAATTTTTGGATATATAAAACCAAGTTGGTACAATTTCTCACACTGATTTTTTTTTAATTTTTATAAGGGAATTATATTTACTTAGTTAACATAATGAAAATTATTTATCTATCAATCAAATTTTTTCTTAAACAAAATATTGTAATTTATACATAATATGTTAAATTAATTTGAATGATTATATTCTTATAAAAACTGGTGTTTAAGTTACATTATTTGTACAATAAAAAATTATATTTAAAAAAAACTTTTATTTTTCCTTAATCACTCATCACAGATTTTTTTTTTAAATATAACATGATTTCAAAAAGACTCATAAACGTGTTAGTCCCAATTTTTTTTTTTTTTTTTATTAGCCTTATTATTAACTTTATTTAATAAATTTGATATTTCAATCGACAAAAATTTATTTATCTAAAATTAAATTTATTTATATTCAGTTTTTTAATAGGATATTCGACAAAACCACAAAAAAAAAAAAAACAAATATTGCAAATCCTTATAATTAACAAATAAACTAAAATATAAATTTCTGTTTAGCTGTTTTACAAATACTTCCAAAAAAAAATTTAAAACAAAAATAATACTATTATAAATATAAATTATAAAATAATAAATATAAATAATACTATTATATTAATATTTTTATGATAAATTGAAGTATACAGGGTATTAAAAATTGACATTTTCTGTACTAGATAATTAATAACCACAAATTTTATAATAACAAAATTATTAAATAAATTATAAAAAACCCAGTACATGATTATTTGTTTCAATTTAAAGACATCAAATTTTAAATTTTAAGTTTGTTATTATAAAAAATTTTCAAATAATTCAAACTGTAAGTTTTTTTTTTAATTAAAATATTTAAATTTTTAGGATTTGTAAAAAATAAATTAATAAATTCGAATAAGAAAAAAAAAAAAAAAGAAAAAAAAACCATTATTAGTTTAATACTATTCAGTTCAAATTTTATTTCATATAAAAAAAAAATTATAATAATAATAATACCTATTTTATTCCTAATGGTTCAAAATTATTAAATTATTATTTTCAAATTCAAAATTAATTATTTGTTTATTTTATGAAATTGATTGAGGGCCCTTTTGAATTCTTCTTCATTTGACCATTTGTCTGCTGCTTCAGGATTTAAAGGACTGTTAATATTAGGATCTGCAACATTTTAAATATGTTGTAAAATTTGTCGTCTGTCATTTTACATTTTTTAATGAAACTAAATTAAAAAAATGTAAAATAATCAATGTTTCAAACCTTTTCCATAATTAAAACAAGAAACTAATAAAATCTTATGTATTTAGACAACTCACATTAATATAACTTTTCAGTCGATTTATTTTGTATTTAAAAAAACGAAAAAATGCAATTCAATATTAGTTAAATACAATTATATAATTTATTATATATATACGAATATAAAATATGTATATATAAAGAATTAAACTTTAAAGAGGAATTAATTCCATAAAAACTCAACCTTATAATTTAAATATATATTAAATTCTATGTATCAACTACTTTTTATATTTAAAGAATCTATTAGCGGCTCAAAAATTTTAAACCCAATCATGGCTTACTAAATTAATAATTATGTCAGCTATGATCGATTCATAATGTTTAAACCAGAAGAAAAATATAATTTTAAAAAAATTTTGAATAACTTACCTCCTAAGAGTGATTGAATTGAAAGCAAAATTGCTCTAACATCATATAGTGCAGACCATTCATCTTTTAAAATATCTAAGCAAATATTTCCAGAGGTATCAACATTTGGATGGTAGCAAGGGCTAGTGAACTTAAAAAAAAAAAAATAAAAATTTTTCTTTTTTTTTTTTTCCAGAGAAAGAACAATGAATTTTAAGAACTGAAAATTTTATAAATTTACCTTCACAACAGGAGGTGCATATGGATAACTTTGAGGAAATTCCATTGATAATTTATAACTAAGACCTTCATATACAGTATTAACAGGTCCACTCATTGTGGCAACCCATTTAAATAAGTTTTCACCTGGGAATGCTGAAACACTTTTCTCAGGGTTCATCTAAAAAATACAACAAAAATCCTGTACCAATTGATAAAACCAATTATTTATTCTACTAAAAATTTTTCAAATGTAATCGTTTAGGTATTAAAAAAAAAAAAAAAAAAAAATTATTTTTTCTTTGTAGCCAATGTCAGATCTTGAATAAAAATGTTGGCTGCTATTGAAATTTAACATAATGAACTTAAATTTAGTAAAAGTGAATTTATTTTAAACTAACAAAAAGATATTTAAAGTTTAACTAAGCTTATTCAAAAATATTTTTACTAAAATTATAATGAGTACCTTAAAAAGCAGCCAGCAAAAAAATTTTTAATAATGAGTAAGGGGATTCTATTAATGGCAATTATAAATGTTTTCAATACTTAAAAAAAACCTTATAAATTAAAATCATTTTTAGGCCTTACCATTAGTGACATTAATTCTTTCTGAAGTCTGAAACAAAAAATTTAAAATTAGTCAAATGCTTTGAGAATTCATAAATGGTTTTAATATAGAAAAAATTATAAAATTTTTACTAAACAAATTTTGACTAGTAATAGCGTTAATTTTTTTTCAAATTGACAAGCCTCAAATTTAACGACAAAGCGTCACTATTAATCAAATTTTCTTACCTTGTACTGACGGAATGATTACTTTTTGATTTTAATTTAGTATCTTCTAATGTTTTGGTCTCATTTTGAGGGGAAGATGATAAAGGGTTAGTTTTATGAGCCATTTTATCAATCATTTAATAACGTACAACCTAAAAAATTTTTGATCATTTGAAAATTGAAATGAATCTGTGTTGCCAATTTAACTTTGACTAAATACACGGTAAAAGTACAACCTATTAAACACCTATGAAAGTTTAATAAAAAAAAAATTTACGCTTACATAGAATTACGCTTTTATTTAAAAATATTTTATTATTTTCAATAAATTTCTAAATAATATGAATAAGTAATTTGAAAATAAATAAATTAAGCTGCTGATAAAGATAAAAGAAAGGTTTATAACCCGAACATTGCTTGAATAATAAAAAGTAGTACTTAAGTATTACTTTATTATTCAAACAATAAACAATATAATAATTTATTATTCAATAATAAAAATGAAGTTTTTATAGTTAAAAAAATTGAAAACCTTTTATTGAGTATTAAACATTTGAATTGTATTCCTTTTTTTATTTTACAGTGTTCAAAATTTGAATTTCAAAATTTTTTAGACGTGTTCCTAGTAGTCAGATAATGTTAAATACACGTTTTATAAAGCGTCTTATTTTATTTCTCAAGTAGTTTATTGTATATTAATGGAGCTTGCAGTAAATCATAGTAATTTTTATTATTTAACTGTTTTCCCCACGATTAATAATGAGTAAACGTGGAAGAACTTCCTCGGTAACGGGTAGGCAAGATGATGATGGAGAATCTTCAGACTTGATGTTAATTGAGCCTTTCAGAAAAAGAAAAAAAATAGATCCGGCATGTAGTTTTTTTTATATTTACTATTGGCAATTTTGTTCGACTTGTAAAATACTTAACATCAGAATTATAATTTTTATAATTAAATTCTGGCTTTTAGAGTGATTTTTGCTCTTACGTGTACGATATACTAAGAAATCATAAAAAAGAAGATGGGTCTTTATTGTGCGATACCTTCATTAGAGTTCCCAAACGAAGACAGGATCCATCGTATTATGAAGTTGTATCCAATCCTATTGATATGCTTAAAATTCAGCAAAAAATAAAAACAGATGATTATGAAGATATTGAAGATATGGCTCAGGATGTAGAATTAATGGTTAATAATGCCAAATCTTTTTATAAGGTATGATTCTAAAATATCATTATCTTTTTCATTTCCATATTGAAAAAAAAACTTTTTTTTAAGTTCATATAATTTTTAAAATTACATTTTAATTATTAAAGCAGTGAATAAAAGTAAATGTATTTTACTTATTATTATTTAACTTTAAACTTTAACTAAAATCTTGATTCAAATTATATGACATATACTTGAATACAAAATATTTTTCATAAAATGCAAATTAATTGGTACACTTAATAATAAATAAACATTTATTACATGTAGAAAAATTCAACAGAATACAAGGATGCTGTTGAATTGATGGAGATGTTCAATTCAATTAAAAATAGACTTCTTGAATCAGAAGATCAATCATCAGTTGAGTCTGACAAGAAAGGAAAAATTATTTTAAAAGTTGGAAAGCTTGTAAGTACTGAAAAAAAAAACAAATTGTAAATGTTATAAATGTTTAATAAGTTTGAAAACAATCATAAAAAAATTTTTACATTGAAAATATTATAAAAAGCAAAAACTTAAAATTATTACTGCAATAATAATAATAATAAATTTAATGAATTTGTGAATTTTATACTTTTAATTGAAGCATTGGTATTAAGTATTTAAAAAATTTTTGTAGGCTAGAAAAGCTGCTGCTGCTGCAGAGGCTAAAAAACAAGATCCTGATGATACAACTTCTGAAGGTTCAAGTGTTATGGAAGAAGAATCTAATCAAATCGAAGAACTATTTACTGCTGTAATGCAGGCTACAGATGGAGAAAAACGGCAATTAAATTCTGCTTTTATGCTCCTTCCTTCAAAAAAAGTAGAAAAATTAATTTATGGAAAATTTAATTTTACTCGAGAATAATTTTATATTTAATTTTTTTTTTTTTTTTTTAGAAATATCCAGAGTATTATGACATTATAGATAATCCTATTGACCTTAAGCAAATAGCTAGAAAAATCCAAGCCAATCAATATAATCATATTAATGATTTAGAAAAAGATATGTTGCTAATGACTAAAAATGCTTGTAGTTTTAACGAACCTGGCTCTCAAATTTACAAAGATGCAAAAACCCTTAAAAAAATAATAGTGAGCAAAAAATTTGATATTGTTCATGGAAAGCTTAAAGCTAAAGTTGGGTATGTATTTATAGGCAATTCATATCAATTCAAACTTCATTATTTTTTTTTAATATTTTATTTTATTATTGTTTTTTTTAATAGGCGAAAGAGATCGAGAAGTTATCAACCTTTATCAGCTATAACTGCCGCCCTTAAGGAAGAAGCAACATCTGAAGAAGAAGAACTAGAGGGAGATTCTGATGTAGATTTGGACAATCCCAGGTGGCAACTTTATGACGTTGTTAAAAATACCACAAACAATGGAGGTTATGCACTATGTGAACCTTTTTGGAAATTGCCATCTCGAAGACATTATCCAGATTATTATAAAGAAATTAAAAATCCAGTATCATTACTTCAGATAAGAAACAAACTTAAGAAAGGAGAATATGGAACTGTATCAGAAGTTGCAGGGGATTTAAATATTATGTTTGAAAATGCAAAAAAGTACAATAGGCCTGAATCTCGATTATATCGGGTAAGTTTAATCAATTTTGAAGCATGCATAAAATTTACCATGATTTAAAAAACTTTTTTTTACGTGCAGGATGCTATAAAATTGCAAAAAGTAATGCAACATAAAGTAAAAGAATTATTAGATTTTGATCAAGAATCTGAAAGTGATACAGATTCAGATAATAGTCCTATTATTAAGAAAGATACTAGTCCGATAGCCAAAAAACGAGGGCGTAAAAGTGCTGCATTCATTAGAGGTAAACTTACATAATTATTTTGTGTTTAAAGTTTTTCTTTTAAATTGTTAATCAATTTTTTTTTTTTTTTAATTTTTAGGGAAATACAAAGATAATCCTTCGTTAAGAAAAAGATTTTTATCAATTTGTAAAGCATTAACCGAATATACTTATGAAGATGGTCGTCAACCCATTCTAATGTTTATGGAAAAACCTTCGAAAAAATTGTATCCTGAATATTATAAAGTAAGTGAACAAGCGAAAAAAATTTTCTGTTTTAATTTTTAATTTAAAAAAAAAAAATGTTTTCTTTAAAAAAATTTGTCAACTTGTTTATTTTACATCTTCAAATAAGTTATTTGCTATTGGCAAGATTTTCTTCTCTGAAAATTTCATCTTATGTAGTGTCTTAGTTTTTTTTTTTTTTTTTTTTTGAGTTTTGATTTGAGTTTAGATTTTTTTTTTTTCGGCTTTAACAATTTTATTTTTCTTACAGAAAAATTCGGTTTTAAAAAGAAGTAGTACTTCAGATCCTGAGGAGGTATTGTTATATTTGAAGTTTTTGTTATAGGTCTTTAAGGTTTAGGTTTGAAAGTGTAAAATAAAAGTTTTTCTGTTTTTTTTTTTTTTTTAAATCATTCAAAATTTCCTTTAGAAAGTTTTGCCAAAACAGCAATCCGTCATGGTTTTTTTTTTTTTTTTTTTTTTTATACAAAATAATGAAAAATGATTATTTTTTTAGTTTGGAGTTATGAAATGAGTGATATATTTTCTATGTATATGTAAAAAATCTTTATAAATTGTTGTTTTAGATTATTGCAGAACCAATCGATTTATTGCAAATACAAGGAAACATCAAAGCAGAGAAATACACAACTGAAGATCAATTAATATCAGATCTTAAACTGATGTTTAGTAATTGTCGGAAGTTTAACGAGGAAAATTCGGTCATTTATAAAGATGCAAATAATTTAGAAAAGGTATTAAACGATAAATTAAAGGAGTTGGGACCGTTACCAGATGTTTCTACGACGCCCAAGAAATCAGCGGTTAAAGCTTACAAACCAAGGCGGAAACAAACACAGGCCGATGCGAAATTACGGTCACTTTTTGAAACTATTAAAGAATTTAGAGATTCTAAAGGTCGACACTTGTCTCTGGTTTTTGCCAAGCTACCCTCTCGTATTGACTACCCCGATTATTACGAAGTAATAAAGAAACCTATAGATTTGGACAAAATTGGTAGTAAACTTAAAGGGGGCCATTACGAAACCTTAGATGATTTGGTTACAGATTTAATTTTAATGCTCGATAATGCTTGCAAATTCAATGAACCTGATTCTCAGATATACAAGGTGAGAGTTTACAAAGTAAAAAATTTTTTTTTGCAAAATATGTTTTTATTAAAACACAATAATTATATTTAGGATGCCCTTCAACTTCAACGAGTTGTCCTACAAACAAAATTACAATTGAGAGAAGATGAAAATTTAGTACCTGATGTCAAAGCAGCCGTACAAGAGCTTCTTACATCTTTATTTACTTCAGTGTACAATCATCAAGATGAAGAAGGAAGATGTTTTTCTGATTGCATGCTGGAATTACCAGAGCATGATGAAATTGAGGGAAAAAAGTTAGTCCGATGAACAGTTTCTTTTATCGTTCAAGTATTTTAAAAACAATTTTTAAATATTAAATTATTTATTTTTTAATTAAAGAGTTCGTGGAATATCTTTGGACATAGTAAAAAGAAGACTTGATAAAGGATTGTACAAAAGACTTGATCGTTTTCAAGAAGATTTATTTGCATGTTTGGAAAGAGCTCGAAAATTATCACGAACTGATTCTCAAGTTTTTGAAGATTCAATAGAACTTCAAGCTTTTTACATTAGGCAAAGGTAAAAAAAAAAAAAAAACATTTTTTTTTTTTTTTTTTTTAACTAAATAAATTTTTACAACTATTACTGAAAAAGTAAATTCGTTTGTTGTTTTTTAGGGATGAATTATGCCGAGGAGGAGATATTCTCAATTCTCCCGCTCTGAATTATAACTTATTGCATTTGTCAGCTGCTGTTGAGCAACAAAAACAGCAAAAACTTCTTAAAGAAACTCCAAGTGAAGAAGAAAATGAAGGTCGAAATCCAGAGGTATTGGCATGATTCCCCAAAGAACGGCAATTTAGTTTAAAAAATAATTTTAAGATTAAAATTCTTTATTATCAAAAATAATTCAGTAATTTGATATTTTATGTTTTTTTTTCAAAAAATTTTACAGGATCCTGCAAACAATACATCTATAGTTTCGAATAATTCGGTGGAAAATTCAGCCCCTGGTGGTGCTATGATATTTAATCAACAGCATTACCATGTTGGAGATTTTGTATATATTCAACCTCAGGACAGAAACGCAGAACCTAGTATTATACACATTCTTAGGGGATGGACAAACGCTGAAGGAATTCAAATGTTGTATGGTGATTGCTTTTGTCGACCTAACGAAACGTATCACGTTCAAACTCGTAAATTTTTGGAAAAGGTAAAAAATTATTATTGTATAAATCAATTTCATCATTTTATTAAAAATATGTTTGCTTATATTTATTAGTCTATTCATTTTTCTCGTTAAATATTTTTTTAGGAAGTGTTTAAAAGTGATCAACATGTAGCTGTTCCCCTTAGTCAAGTATTGGGTCGTTGTTGTGTGATGAGCGTAAAAGATTATTTTAAATTGAAACCTGAGGGTTTTGATGAAAAAGACATTTACGTCTGTGAATCCAGATATTCGAGTAAAGCTAGAGCGTTTAAGAAAATAAAGGTGAGAGCTTTTCTTCATTATGGGCGTAAATTAAAAATTTAATTCATGTATATATATGTTTACAGGTTTGGCCTTTTAGTACCGAGCGATTAACTTTGATTCCTAGAGAAGAACCATTTGAGCCTAAAAGAATTATGTGCGTGTTTAAAGATAGGTTGGAAAAACATATAACTGAAATTGCCGAATTGGAGGAATATGAAAAATTGGAGGAAAAAGAAAAACCTGTAATTAAATGTTGTTTTGTCATTGAGTTTGATTAAGTGTAAAATGAATTTTAACGAAAAAGTATCTTTATCATTAATTTTTTATTATTTTTTTTTTTTTACTTAGAATATACAATTAATGAATATGCCACCCAATCCAGAAATAACGGCTTATTATCAACAACTTAATTTGCCCTGGGGTGCTATCAAGACGGGAGATTTTGTTTACATTGAAACAGAAAATAATACAAGATTAGCTGCTCAAGTGGATACCATTTGGGCAAACAAAGAGTGAGAAAAATAATTATTATTTTTCAAGAAAAATATTTTCACATATAAAATGCATCTCTTGTTTTTTTCCAGTGGGGAATGTTTCATCAAAGGACCGTGGTTTTTAAGACCACAAGAAATATTTTACATTCCAGGACGTACTTTTTACAAGCAAGAAATGTTTTTAGGGTGTTTAGAAGATGTTCATTCTATACAAAATGTTGTGGGAAGGTGTTGTGTAATGGAACATACAGAATACATCTCTTGTAATTTTTTTTTTTTTTTTTTTTTTCAAATTTATTTGAATATATTTTATGCTCTTTTTATTATTAAAATGTAGTAGGTAGTTGGAATAAAAGTACATAAATTTTTAAATGATTATAAATTTAGGTCGACCGACGGAAATTGAAGAAAAAGATATTTATATATGTCAGTCAATATACAATGAACAAAGACGTCAACTTACTAAATTGGTTAATGGGTTAAAACGTTACACTCACAGTGATACGGTTACTCAAGATGAAATTTATTTTTTTAGGCGCTTGATTAATCCTTTAAAGGTGAGTATTAAAATAAAATTTGAAATTCATAAAACTAATACTAATTTGCTTTTTTCATTTAATTATTAGGTCAGTAGTGAATCCATAGCTCTTCATACCATGCCTGATACCAGACCGGTACCTTTACAAGTTCAAAATCCAATTTCGGGATACGAAACTCCATCCGAATCTAATATGATAACCCAAAAAGTTGATCAAGATATCTTAAGTTTAATGGAAGATTCATTAGATGGTGGCCCTCCATCTGTGGGCTCTGGAGATATACCAGCACAATCTCCTCTTCCTGCCATGCAAACACCTCTAAGTTTAGGGAAAAAGGTTTATTATTATTATTATTAATTTTTAAACGTATACATAAAACATCAGACGGTAAATCAGTGTTTTACAGTTTTTTTTTTTTTTTAAATGTTGGTTTAGAAGGGAAAAGAAAAAAATCCAGCCAAGTTAGTTACCGGATACATCTTGTACTCTAGTGAAATACGAAAAGGCATTTGTACATCTCATCCTGAAGCAAGTTTTGGCGAAATTAGCAGAATGGTTGGAAACGAGGTAAGAATTTCAAAATTATTTATCATTATGTCATACATAAACAAAGAGATTTTTAACTAAAAAAATTAATTCCTTAGTGGCGACAATTAACGGCGGAAGTAAAGCAAAGTTGGGAGGAGAAAGCAGCCAAAATGAATGAAGAAATGAAAGAAGCCAAAGCTTTAGAGGAAGCCATGTACCCTCAAGGTGTGCCTCCGGCTACCACTCCCAATCCAGCAAATTTGCCATTGAATTTTACGTTTGAATGTGCGTGGGATAATTGTGATTATCAGTTTGATGATTTAAATGATTGCTTAGAACACGCTGTGGCTGAAGGAAGTGGACATGTTCAAATGTATTTTGCTGCTGTTCCTCCCTCCGGTAAGTTCCAGTATAACGCTAGTTTTTCAGTTAAATTTGGATTTTAAGGCATTTTTTAAAAATCAATTTCAAAAAAAAATTAAATTAAATTTTATTAATGCAGAATGTGAATGGCAATGTCAGTGGAAAGGATGTAATAGAATAAAAAAAAATTGTCCGCCATTTCCCAGTTTAACACGTCTTGCAAGACACGTCAAAGAAGTTCACATAATGAAGTCAAATGGTAAAGTAATTCAACCGTCGGAGAGAAGCAAGTAAGTTTTATTCCGGTTCTTTTAATAAGTTTAAAAAAAAAAAAAAAAAAAAAAAAAACTACATAATCGTATATAATTATTTAACATGACGCATAAAATAGCATAAAATTCTTCCTTTTAAAAACAAATTGTAAGGATTATTATTTTTTTTTTTTTTTTTAAATATTAAGATGTAGAATTATGTTGGTTTAATTTTTAGGAATTATGTGCAGTCGAAAAATCCGCTACCCCAGAGATCTCAAGTTATTTCAATTCCAGATGATAACGGTTGGTGAATTAATAAACCAATTCAATCGTTATTTATTGAAAGCTTGTTGCTTGTTTATTGTTATTGATTTTTATTATTATTATTATTATTATTAATTTTTTATTCCCTTTTTTTTTTTTTTTAATTTTGCGCACTAAAACGTAGAATAGTACCAATATGTTTTAGGTACTTAGGAGAAAATGAAGTATTTAAATTTTTTGTTAGTGATAACAAGAATCATTAATAAAAAGGAAAGCTTTTAGTAGTTGTTTATTATTTATTGTGTTTTGTTATGTAGGAATTATATACCCTCTAAAAGAGCTGCAGTGCAAAGGACGCAGCAAGTACAAATTCCACAGGCTCAATATTTCAGTGAGTATTTTTTTTTTTTTATTAAATGCCAAGGGAAAAAAATTAAAAATTTTCAAATCAATCAAATTTCACTCAAAAAACATTTTTTTTGTACGCTTTTAACTCTGTGCAATGCGCAAAATGCATCTTGTCTCATTAAAAAAAATTTTGTAATAAAAATTCTTCATATTCTTCAAAAGGGAGCCTTTGGGTGAGTTCCATTCCCAGGTATTGGTACTTATCCGTTTTGTATTTTTAACATTAAACCTTTGTTTAAATTTTTTCTGTTTTTGTTCTTTCTGTAGTTGTTGCATGGATTACATTTTAACATTGAATCCCGGGTTATAAAGAAAATTGTATTATACTAATAACTTTTTAACATTTAACAAAGAGCACAATTTTTTGATTTCCAGTTGGGGTTTCTGGACAAACTGGATCAAGTATTGTGTCGCATCATTTGCTTTCACTTGATTCACCAAATCCTTCTGTGAATTCAAGTAAGTTTCTCCCATACTTGTTCATACCTCTTCATTGGGTTTCTTTTTTTTTTTTTTTTCTTCTAAATGCTTATTGCTTATATTGCTTTTAACATCATAAAATTCATTTTCTTGCAAGTATTATCTTATATCCGTTACTGTTTATGTACTGAAATCACAAATTCTTTTTTTTTTTTTTTTTAAATCCAGTGAATATTGTGATTAATAACGATGTGTTTAACTTGTTTGTAAATTATTTTTCAGCTATAGCTCAGCTAAACCAAAAGCCTGCAGATCCAATTTTTGTGACGGTACCACCCAGGCCTCAGAGGTTACTACATTCAGATGCTTATATCAAGTTAGTATACCTTTTTTCCCAACCTATATTAATTTTTTTTTTAAAATTTAAGATGTGTGACTATTTGAGAAGTTAGAATACTCACTACAAATATTTTCAACACAAAAAGTTAAAAAAATAGTGGTAATAGTTCAGGTATTTCTTTTTTTTTTTTTTTTTGTACATTTTATAATTTTGATATTTCTCACGGCAGGTACATTGAAGGTTTGTCTTCGGATTCAAAATACATATCTAGTTGGGATAGGATGTTGAAAGCAACACAAGAAAACACTCCTCCTGTTGATGAATCTCGTTTACCTGGTTATTGGTTAGCTAATGGACCAGGTAATTATGGAACAATTACAAACGCCCTTTGGGCATTGCGAGACTTTATGCTAAGAGATGCTTTAAACATTTCAAAAATACTTTAAGACTAAATGTGCTCTAAACATTTACCTTTTTACTAATATAATAAAATATTGGTAAAATTTTAATATAAATATATTTATAATATTTACCTTTTTTTTTTTTAAAATGGTACTGACGGTAGCAAAATTGCTAAGCATTAATACATAGAAATTTTTTATAAAAATTGATAAACAATATTAATGTGTTTATTATAAGTTTTTATGTACATATGTACTTTCTATGTACATGTATTTTATTTAAAAAAATTTTGTTAGTTATGCAATAAGTAAAATAATTATTTTAATTTTTGAAATTTGAATTTTGTCACCAATAAACTAAATAAAACTTTCCCGAATGAAAAAACTACACAGAATTTAAAAAATGGAAATCGATTATATATATTTAGTTTTAACTATAAAAATATCATTTAAAATTGTAACTAAAAAAATATATTTAAAAATAATTTATTTTGAAAGTGATTATACATAATTTGATTTTATAATTTATACAGAGGTTATGATACGACTATGACCCTAACTTTATATTTTAAAAATCAGAAACCCTACCTTTACGCTCCCAATCTCCATACCTAGTTGGTTCCACTCCTTTGGGACCATTCCTTTCACCTGTTACTGGATTGATACCATTTGGAAAAGGTTTAAGTGGTTCTTTTTCTTGATATGGATGTTTACCTTCTTCTAATTCATCTAATTTTCCTAATGAACCAAATATTTTTTTATTGAGCAAATTTTTAAAAACATTAAAATAATGTATGATATAATAATGACTTTATATTTAGAACTTGCAAATGATATTTTTGAAACGTAATAATTGCAAGATTATTCATTAAATGTGTATAATTGGAATAAATAGAAAATAAAATTAAAAGGAAAAATTTTTAAAGTAAATAATTTTAGTAAATTAATTAGTTGATTAATTATAATATTGTACCTATTGGGGTTTTTTGACGAAGTTTTTGTGCTGCTCTTTGCAATTTTTCACCAGGACAACTTGTGTTGGCATTTTTATCGAGCACATCAGAAACATTTCCTAGATTTCTTATGTGATCTGAAGGAAATAATAAAACGAATTAAAAAAAGACAAAAAAAAAATTTATTTTTGAAAAAACTTAAATGTATTTTGGTTTTTAAAATTTAAGTAAATATAAAATTAAGGTATATGGCTTTGACTTAAAAAAAATGATTGTTCACTTCTGAAGTAAATTTTTTTTGGTAAATACTTTTTACTTTATTACAAATTATAAAAGCTGTTAATAAATCATAGACGAACGAATCAGAAATGCATAATTTTATAAGTGAAGCGGACACGCATTAATCATTAAAAATTTTTAATTTGATCCCGAAACAATTAATATTAGTAATTAAATACATTACACTTATTAATTATTAAACGGAAATAATAAGATTTCATCGTCCCGAAATGCATTGTGGCGAACTTTCTTACATTAGAAATTCCTCGATTAATCTGTATACAGCGAATTACCATGATTAAGTAATGTTTTAAAACCTTATAAAGAAAAAAATTGGTTGTAACTTTGTCCGCCAGGTGAACTACTTCTATTTATTTTTTAACAGTATTTTATTTATAATTTGGTTTTAAGCCAAAAAAAAACTCAATAAGTTCAATTAATATTTAGCATTTTTAAAATGTACGTTTTTAATTAATATATTAAAAACAACTTGAGTTTTTTTTTGCACTGTATTTTGCCGTGTAGCATTTTGCAAAGTACGCCATTTACATGGGTGGATGCTGTATTTATCCGCGTATACCAGAATTCTGTTTCAAGTGCCGAGAAACAGACAAAATGTAAAGCTTTGGATTTTTTTTCTTTAATTTTTTATTGCTGCGTGTCACTGTGTCTCCAAACATGGATCAAGTCAAAATTTCTACATCTAGACTGTTTTGTAATAGTATTGTGGAAAACAAAGATGAATTTGAAGAGGTAAAAAATCACTCAATTTTTCGTAGGATATTAATTTTCGAGGCAGCCATTTTGTGACAGTGGTTCGCAAGTTAAATTATTATCCGCCAGGCGTATATTTTAAATTTTTTGACGCGCCTTATTTTCTGACTTTTTTACTTATTCTTATTTTATTCTTTCTTTTAAATTTCTTCGACTATCAAAAAGTTTTTATAAATTTTTTGCTTCCGAATTTACTTATTTATTTTTTATTATTATTTTCAAACAATGTATAATCAATTTTTTATTATAAAGCATTTGCATCTAACTAATCTAACCTTACTTTATTCATATTATGTCTCAATAGGATTATAAAAATTTGTTTTTGTTTTTTAATTTATGTAAGAAATATGAAAGAAGTTACCAATCATTACAAAGTTTAACTGCTGGGCTGTCCGATAAGGAGACTCACGATGCTCTAACGAGAGCTATTGTAAAAGATAAAGGACATGAAGAAATGTCCTTAGGCTTACTTGTAATCATTCTCACAGAACCAAAAAACGCTACAAAGGTATTTTTAATTTACTTAAAGTTATTAAACATTCTAATTTAATTCTAATTTCATTTTATATTATAAACAATAATATCAGTGAGTAACCAAGTAAAAATCACTGACATTAAAATCAATATTTTTATTGTGTAAATGTCAAAGAATTATTTGAAAAATATTTTAATTCTTATGTCTTGTGTGACATTTAATGTTGTACACGGTTAATGTATAGTAGAGCATTTACTATTTTTTAATTCATTAAATGGTCTTATTTGTAGGCATATCGTGACCTGACCCTGATCTCTAGAGATGGTTTAACACTGGTGGTTAGTCATCTTAGTCAACTTGTTCTTGAACGCTACCTTAAATTCAATGATGTTACTCGCACTCAACTAATGTGGCTATTACGTGAAATGATTCGAAATGGAGTTAACAATGTTGATACTTTATGTTGGAATGTTTTACGTCATGCTGCAGGCGGCGATATTTCACCAAGAAATATATTTTTAGTGGAAAATCTATTGGACATTTTTTTAGAAAACAGGTAACTAGATTTTAGTGCTTTATGACGTTAGTGGTGCTGGTAATATATTTTAAATTGAATTTCTGTTTTGTTTTACAACAAAAATGTTAGATGTGAATTTGATAAAAAAAAAAATTTTTCTTACTCTAGGGCTTGGTTGGACAAATATCCAGTGCTCTTATCATCAGTAGTTTATTCCTTTTTAAGGTTAATAGAAGACCATTGTATTCCACAATTACAAGCCTTACGTCAAAAAGAAGTTACTTTTGTTGTAACATTAGTGCGTGAACGATTTGCTGAATGTCTATCTATCGGTCGTGACTTTTTGAGACTATTGCAAATTGTTGCTAGAATTCCAGAATTTGAACAGCTCTGGAAAGATATTTTACTAAACCCTAAAATTTTATCACCCAATTTTACAGGTAAAATAACTGTTCTTTTGTAAAAAAAAAGTAAAAATTATTTTCACCGATACATACAATTTTATTTTTCTAGGCGTTCAACAACTTATGCAACAAAGAACTTCTAGACGCTACCTTCAATCACGATTAACACCTGAAATGGAAAAAAAATTAGTTTTTTTTACAGGAAATGTCAGATTTGGTGCTCATAAACGATATCAAGACTGGTTTCTAAAGCAGGTATTAAATATTTACATTAGATAATAACTCAAAGCAAGAATTATTAATTTAATCATTTGTTTTTAAATTGTAGTATTTAATGACAACCGAATCCCAATCTTTAAGAATCGATTTAATAAGATTCATTGTCGGAGTTATTCATCCTCCGAACGAACTTTTGTGCTCAGATATAATTCCACGATGGGCTGTTATTGGTTGGCTTTTAACTACTTGCACATCTGCTGTAGCTGCAGCAAATGCAAAATTAGCTTTGTTTTACGATTGGCTATTTTTTGATCCCGAACGAGATAATATAATGAACATTGAACCCGCTATTTTGGTAATGAGTAATTCTATGAGGTCTCATCCTGCCGTCACTGCCACTCTTTTGGACTTCATGTGCCGAGTCAGTATTTTTTCATTGATTTATTATTATTATTATTTATTATATCAAAGGTTTTTATTGTTTAAAAATTAATTTTTTAGATCATACCGAATTTTCATCCAACTTTACAAGAACAAGTAAAATTAGGAATGCATGCATCTCTTAAGCAAATTGTTAAAATGAGGGTTTTAAGCTCATTAGTTCCACTTTTTGATAGTCCAAAATTAGATAGAGATCTTAGAAATAAAGTTAGGGCAACATTTAAGGAGTTTTGTACCAATTCAAGCTCAGAGGGTAATAATAACTTTTTTTTTTTTTTTTTCTTTTAAATTATATTTATATGTAATTTAATTACGAATGTAAATTTTAAAAAAAATTACATTAGGAAGAATTGAAGAAGCTCCTGCAATTATACGAGATGAAGCAATTTCCGAAGCCCCAAATAATCACACAGATATTTTAGAACCTGAACCTGCTTTCAGTGATGATGATGAATCTCACGGCAATAATGACGATGAAGATGACATTCCTCTAGGTATAATTGAAATTTTTTTTTTTTTTTTGACGATTGTAAAAAAATATTGACTTACTATTTATTATTGTGGTATGTAAAAATTATTTTAGCTAAAGTAAGACTGCGAGAAAAGCCAGGAGTGGATACTAGAGAGCTTTTGGATCCGGAAATGGTAAATGTAATTGATGAACTATCGGCAGGAGCTGATAATGAAGCAAAGTAAGTTTTTAAGTAACTCAAAAAATCTAATATTTTTTTAGATTTTTGAAATTTGCCCTTTTAATTTAAATTATTTTTTAAAAAATGTTGGATTTATTATTTTTTCAATAGATGCGAGGCAATGGAAAAATTGGTTCAGTTAATTTTAGACGAAGAAGATTTGGATAGTCAAGTAGTTTCTCAATTAGCTTATGCCTTATCTGTAGCCCTTCAGCGTCAATTCGAAGATCCCGTATTTCCTTCTAAAGTAAATGACGAGTAAGAAGTTTTATTATTATTATTATTACATTCCTAATTGATTTCACCATTATTACAAGTCGTTTTACAGTTTTTACAGTTATTACAATTTTTTTTTTTTTTTAGATCATTGGAAGATAGTATAGGTCGACCTTTATTTGTTTTGTTTAGAAATATTTCTCAATTACCAGAAAGTGATAGAAGAAGACAACCATTGTTAATGATTTTGGCTGAATTAAAATCCATACAGCCAAGATTGGGTTACTTGTTTTTATATTTTTTATTAGTTTGGTAAGTATCATGATTACTTTTGTGATTACTTTTAATTTAATTTATTTATTTATTTATTTTTTTTTGTTGTAGTAAATTAAATAAAGAAAACGGCTCAGTTTACCAAAATTTTTGCCAAACTCTAGAAAAAAGCTTAGAAGTTTGTTTATTAGAAGATTTGTCTTTATGTCAAGAAGATGACGATAGATTACTTTTTTGGTTAGTTCAAGGAATTTATGAGAAATTTTCAAGCACTGCTACCAACAACCCGAGCATTATTCATTTAATCGTTTCAACGATAGACAGTCTTCAATTACAAGAGCTTATTTTTTCTATTTTGTTAGGTATAAAGTTTTAAAATTTTTTTTTTTTTTTTTCTACTTAAAAAATGATTCCTAATTAAATTACTATTTTTTTTTTTTTTTTTTTTTTTACCTTGTCTTGAATTTATAGGTCGATTACTTATGTTTACTGAAGAAAAATTTTCACTCCTTATAAAAGAATCTTTAACATGGGAATCATGGGAGCAAGTTTGCCTCTGGCAATTGGTAACCGCTCACGGAATACCTTTGTCATATATATTGCCAATATTGCCTGAATTAGATTATTTAAAACATCCAGAAGCATTGACACCAATTACTTTAATGCTAAAACAAGAAAGGTAAAATTTTTTAAATATTATTTTAAATATAAATTTAAGAGTTCAAGACGATAAATTTACTAATTTTTTCAGGCCCACTGCTGAAATAATGAAACATTTGTTATCAAGAACAATATCGTCACCGCAGGACAAATTCGTGGTTTCAATTTTAAAGTACTGGGCAGCAGAACACGAAGACAAATTTGCTGAATTAGTCGGAAGTTTATTAAATAGTAGATATCCAGGAACGTCTCCCAATAAGCGAAAACGAGGAGCTAAATCAAATTTGAATTCGTCGGGACCTCCAACAGCTGATCAGGTGTTTAATTGAAATCATCATGTTATAAAGTTACTTTAGTTATAAAAAAATAATATGTGAACAATTGAAAAAAATATTAATTTTTTTTTTTTTTTAAATATAAATTTTAGGTTTTAAGTCATTTAGATCATTTACGACAATGTTGTGAAATAGCTGACCTTCACGTGTATTCATTAGAACCCATTCAGAGAGCTTTACAGGTGGCTCAATTAAACGGAAATGACACACAAAAACAAAATTATTCTGATCTTTTTGCTTTGGCAGAAACAGAAGAAAAAAATCAAAAAACGTCCGGTCGGGGAGGTCAAAAAGTTGGAAAAAGTAGATCTAGTAAACCAAAGGCATCTTTAAAAGAAATTTCAGACAGTTCTGAAAATAGTAGTGATGTTAGTATACTTAATTTTTTTTTTTTTAAGGTTAATAAAGTTGAAATAAAAAATTAATTTTGGTAATAATATTTTATAATTTTTTGTTGTGTGTGTTTGTGTGGCAGGAAGAAGAAATAGTTAAACCAAAGCAACCGAAAAAGCGAAAAAAGTTAATTGGATCAGATAGTGACTGACCTAGTGACAAGATATTTAGCTGCAATGATTCTAATTCAGTAGACCAAGTCGTTCTATCCACCTACAGTTTTCGTCCAGCGACCAGAATATATTCTTATGCGGAATGTTAATAATAATATGAAGTTATTTATTTACTTTGAGTAAAGAACTATTAAAATGAGTTTTTTTTTTTTTTTTATAAAAAATTACATTTTAAAAAAAAACGTCACGCCACTTTATTATTATTATTATTATTAAAGTTCGTATGTTACTGTTACTGTTACTACTTATCATGAGTGACAGAAATTTGACTTTTTTCCTTTAAAAATTAATTTTTGAAGGAAATTTAAAATATATATATGCTTTATGTAAGGTTGTTAGTACGTGGAAAAAAAAAAAAATTTACAAAATTTTATTGCATAGAAATTTATGCTCATCGTTTTATTTAAAAAAGATTGGCATATATATTCTTCCTTATTTGATGATGATTTGAATATTGTGTGCTTTGAAAAATGAACATGTTTATAATAAAATATTTAAAGTCTAAATCAAATATTTCTCTAACTTTTCAAAAGAAAAAAATTTACAATCATTTATATTTATTTTGTTTTATTGGTTTTTGGTTTTTTTTTTTTAAATGAAATCATATAGTAAATATTTAATATATTGACTTTTTTTTTTTATCTTTTACACTTTTATAAAAGAAAGAAAGAAAATTGGTACTGTCTCTCTGTCACTCATGAAGAAAAGATATCAATGTTAGATTTATGTTAGGTAACCATAATTTTTTAATTTAAAAATAAAGTGATGTATTACAAAATAAATAAAAAAAATGAATGCTGAAGAATGTGTTACACAGCAATGTAAATAGCGTGAAAATTTGTTGATTAAAATGATTGTACAATATAATGTTTTTTTTTTTTTTTTTTTTTTTTTTCAAATTGTACATACCAAAAATAGATATTTTATATTAAAATCATTTTTTCTTTTTTATTATTTGGATTCAATTGTAATTTCTCATACGTAAACCTATTAATTTTTTTTTTTTTTTTTTTTGAATCTATTTTAAATTGAAATTTATTTTAACTTGTCATAATTTATTATTAAAATTTTATTTTAAAGCCTTGGGGGATTTATAATAAAAGTATATGTATGGGGTAACACCCATTATTTTTTTTCTTCAAGTATTTATTCTAAAATATTGAAATATTTGTTTAAAAATGGATATTATTGAAATTTAATAATCATTTATTTTAAATTTATAATTTTTAACGCCATATCGGTGATAGGATTGAGAAAATAATGGAAATGAATGCATAAAAGTTTTAAATTATTTGGGCAGTTAGTTACTTCTAAAATTTTTAAAATGATTTTTCAGGTATTCATTAAAATAAAACCAAATTTTCAATTAGAATTAAATTTTTATATTTTTTTTTTATTCAACAATTTTTATAACTTTTATTAAAATTAATAAATTTCCTTGTGATTCCTGTTTGGAACAGGTCAAACAAACAAAAAAAAAAAAAAAAAAGAAATTAAAACTAGTTTAATTTAAATAAATTTTTTTTTCATCAGAATTGGTTTCTTTCATCTTTGTTTTATATAATTAAGAGAAAAAATTATTGTTTATTCACAAAAAAAAAAAAAAAAAAAAACAAAATTTTCATTTCCTTACTCATGACATGTCATGTTCTTTTTCTAATGGAGTATTTAAAAAATATACATAATTGCATTAGAATAAGAAAGATTTATTTAAATATATTTTACTTTTGCGATTAATTGTCGTAATTTTAGTTTTATATAAATTAAAAATCATTTGGGGAATTTTATTTAATAAATTTTTTAAAAGTTTTATTTTTTTTTATAAAGAAGTTTTTGATTGTTTTGAATCATATCAATTCTCAGATAATCTGGTTACACTTACGTTTATAATTATTTACCACAGTTTGGGTTTATGCTTGTGTTAAGTAATATGAACCGTATAAATTCATTAATATTAAAGGTTTATCAATCTAATAAAATTTTTCACAGGTATTACGTTTTAAATATAAAAAAAAATTTTTTTTTTAAATCTATTGTTTTATAAAAATTGAATGTTATTTTTTTTATTATTATTATTTATTACAGGCCCAGTGGAAGTCCTGGCGTTTGGTTATGTTTTCTTCTTCCTTCTGCAATTATTGCTTCATCTCTTAAAATTAATAATGTTTCATTATTTTATTCATATAGTTCTTTATATTCATTAAATATTATTCTAAATGTTATTTATTTATTGTTTCATTTATATAAATACAAAAAATTAAATGTTATAGATGAAGTTAATATATTTTTTAGTGTGCCTTTTTCTACTTCAATTTTGTTATATACACATTTTTTAAATATTGGTTGGTTTTATATTTTTAAAAAAGTTATTATCATAAGTTGAACAGTAATAATAATAATAATAATAATTTTTTTTCCAATTTTAGGTTTTTCTAAAAGTTTTTGTTACACTATTGCAAATGCACTGATTTATTTCGAAGGTCTATCATTTATTCTTAAAGTCTTTCCTCGAGTATTTACTTTTGGGGAAGCCAATATTGCTATCCAAGGTTTTTCATTATTTATGTTTAATTTATTTCAAAAACTAAGCCATGTTTTCACAAAAGATATTACTTTAAGCGAAAGTGATGAATCATTGATAATTCTGATGGTATGGTATTTGAAAACTCCTAATTTGATCAATAATAAATAATATTAATATGAGTATGATGTCTTATTTCAGTTAATACTCTTATGGATTTTAGTTTTTTGCCTTGTGCCTTTTTTATTTACAAGTTTAAGGAAAAAATCAAGTCTTTACATGTGGAGCTTTTCCATAGTAGGAATAATAATTTGCTCAATTTACTACATATTAAATTGTAATATTTTTATTTGGATTTTCTCATTCTTAATGAAACCACAAAGGGTACATGTTGTTTATATTTTTATTCGCACTTAATCTTCATCAAGTTTTTGACAATGCTTTATTTATTTTTCAGATCTTCTTGGTTTTCATGTGGTTAATTTGCAGCATTTTGGCTGTAGTATTGGTTCAGCATAATATTAATGTTAAAAAAAAAAGCAATACAATTATTAGAAAACCATTTCATGCTCTTATTGTAATGGTGTTTTTACCAGGCATATTATACGATTTCAACCTGCTGTATTTCAGTTCTGGTTGTCTCTTAGGGTTATTTCTAGTATTAGAAGTAAGTTTGAAAAAAAAAACCTTTTTAATTACCACTAAAATATTATTACATATTAATAAGTATATATATCTGGTAATTATCAATATTATTAATATATAGTTTAATTTTTAGGTTTTTCGAATTACGAGGTTGCCTCCATTCTTTTATTTTCTCAATGCAGGATTTAAAATTTATCAAGATGTTAAAGATTGTGGAATTTTAGCATTAACTCCTATTTGCTTATTGATAGGACAGACTATTCCTCTGTGGTTATATCCTTCAGATAATTTTTCAAATGTGCCATTACCTCTTTTGGGTGGAATACTTTCTGTTGGAATAGGAGATACATTTGCCAGCATAGGGGGTAAATTTTTTGGCAAACACAAATGGAAAGGTAAAATGCTACCACAGTTTTGTAAATTTCACATACTATAAAACTAGATTTTAATAAAATTTTATTTATTAGTTTAACTAATTTTTTGTTTTATTTCACAGATACTCAAAAATCTATTGAAGGAACTTTATTTTGTGTCACGTCACAAGTTGTCTTTCTCACGATATTAAATTTTTTAAATATTATTTTAATTACGAAGATGGAATTAATCAAGAGCTTAATAATTATATTTATTATTTCTTTTGTAGAAGCTTTTACGGATCAAATAGACAATATCGTACTTCCAATATTAATGTATCAATTATTTTTGCTTTAAAAAATTTAATAATTAAATTTAATAAATAGCAAAAATTTAAATCTTACGGTTTTAAAAATAAATATCTATAAATTAATTTTATATCCAATAACAATTTTATAACATTATCTTGACTTGACTAAAATTCGACATGCGCACTCTGTGAAATTATTTTCCATAGAGCCAATAATTGAATCGTGCCACGAAAACGTGGAATTAAGTTGTCGGCCATGTTTGCAAGTTATTGTTTGATCTCTTGATGAAATGAGTATTTCGTTATATTTTGGGGTTCGGTTGAACCCAATGACTTTTGAAAGAATTCTTTTACATTCAATAAATTCGTGTTGTAAAGTAGAGGATTTAAAATATTTAGCATCAAATAAAACAAATATTCCCTTGGAAAATTTAGGTGAGTATAACATTAGGGTTTATTATTATGAAAAACAATTGTAATTGATTTAATTACATATTGTTAATGTACATAATATTTGCAGAATTAATTTACCGTGGGATTATTTTGGAAAACAACTCAACTATTGAATCCTATGGCATTCAATCGGGTGTCACTTTACATGTTTTAAAAAAAAAAGAAAAAGGTTAGATTTTTATCCACAACCATTTTAAAATAATTTAATTAAAAAAAAATTTTTAATAAATTATTTTTCATTTTTAGAAATTTCAGCAAAACCCGGAAGTCTTGTTAATGAAGCTGATGTATTATATTTAGTATCTGCTTTTAAAAGTGCAACCAAAAATCCAAATTATAGAGGTGCACTTCAGGTAAACTGTACTTTATTTAATCTGAAGTTAAAATTTTTTTATTTTTTTTATTTTAGAGTTGTGTACAAGTTTATTAAAAAATTTTTTTTAAATTACCTGTTTAGAGATTGAGCAGACCAGAAGTGTTAGAAAATATTATTGCTGCAACTCCTGGCCTAGCAGAGGATCCTGTTGCTGTCTCGATTATTCAAGATCCTGAACTATTGACTCAATTATGTGATGCTAACATAGTCCGAAGAATTGTTGAAGCTCATCCAAGTCTTGCAGAGGCAGCTAATTCTATTATTGCCTTTATTGTACACGAAGAAGGTTCTTCTGCTGTAGCAGGGAATCCAGGTACCAGTTCAGGCTATTCTTACTCATTAGATGCTCTTAGTGATGATGAAGAAGTTGATTCATCCCAGGTAATTTTTTTTTTTTTTTTTTTTTCTCTCCCAAAAAAGTTATTATTTATTATTTAAAAGACGTAATTGTAAAATTTAGTCACAGAATAATTATTTATGATAAATTCATAATGTATTATTCAATTTCTAAATAACATTGCCATTATAGTTATGCAAAATACATATATATATTAAGTAACATTATCACATACACAATAATACCATGAATTTGATGACTGTTGAGTTTTTTAATAGTATGTATTACAGTCATCAGATTCCCAACCGAGACATGGAGCTGGTGAAAATATATTTGCCTCTCCTATTACCACTGCACAGCTAGCGGCAGCTTTGGCAAATGCTACAGGAAATGGAAACAATCTGAGAGAATCTGCTTCCGGGCCCATAATAACAACAGAAATGTTCAATCAAGCCATGCAACAAGCTTTTGCAGGCACAGCAACAGAGATTGGAGGCTCTGATTCACCAAGAAGAGCTGTTGTAAGTAATAAAAAATATTTTGATTACAGAATACAGTTAATATATTACAAAAATACAATTTTTTCTTTTTAACTGTATTCAATTTTTATTTTGTTTTTTAAATTTACGATTTAATTTCTACAGAGTGTACCCAGTTTTGGAGATTTAGAAGCAACATCTAGACAATTGGCAAGGCATTTGCAGCAAATGCACGAATTAGGATTAAGAGATGACACCATTAATCTCCAAGCTTTGCAGGTATGTTAAATAGTAATCGTAGGTAGTGTAAATAATAACAATCATAATTTACAAAAGTTATTTAAGAATATATATATATTTGCAGGCCACTGATTGGAATGTTCAAGAAGCTATTAATTTAGTTTTCAGTGGTGCAATTGGGGACACAGATCTAGATGAAGAATAATTTTTTCATTAAAAAAAAAGTTTCAACTCGGTAACTATAAAATTATTTATAATTAAATTATTAATTAAAAGCTGAAAAATCAATTTCATTCGATCTGGAGTTAAAAAAAATTTTAAAATATTAAGCTTAGCTCTTAGCCTTTTAAATTTGTTATAAAATTATTAAACCAGTAAAAAAAAAAAAAAAAAACTAAAAAAATATATTCCATAATACATATTAATAATAAGTTTATTAAAATAATATTATAAAAGTAAAAAAAAAAAATTTTTTTTCTATATAATTATAGGACAAATCTACAGCTAGAAAAAAAAAAGAAATACAGGCAATGATGATGAAATGCGTTATAAGGTAAGGATTACAATTATTTTATTTTATTTTTTTTTTTGATGTCTTTGAACTACATCAAGTAAATGTTATTTAAATTCGACTAGTTTTAACAAAACGGAAATCTACCAAACGCGAAATGAATACCGATAACAAAAAAAAAAAAAAATTCAAAATTAATTTTATATATATATATATATATAGGGGGGCTGTTTATTTTTACGAATCAAAATTTAGAATTTATACGCATTTTGCAGTATCACTAAAAATACTCAATTATTATTATTAATCGGCTCCTTTTTTGCTTAAAATAATAAATGCTATGAAATTTTATTAAATTTTATTGCAGTTAATATAATTTTGGTCTTGCATACAAAATACAGAGAGAGAGAGAGAGGCTTCCTTATAAGATTTTATAATATCGTTTTTTTTTTTTTTTTTTTTTTTTTTTTCTCATAAAAAAGTAACAAAAGTTTTTATTTTTAATTATATTTAAATTTCAGTCTTCGTCATAAATTAGGGTACTATAAATAACTAACATTATAATAACTTTAAAGAGGTTTTTATAATAACTAAAATTAATTTTAAAATGATGAATGAATGAACGAACGATGGTCGATGGGTCGATGATTCCTTTATTTAATCATTTCCAAATACCGTTGCTTGTGTTTACTGTGCATTTCGGTGACGGTAATTAATTTTTTTATTGTATTTTTTGTTTTGGCAATTTCTTGAAGTTCTTTGAAATGAGAAACGCATATGTTATGAAGAGTTCCCAAATCTCGTGCCAAATCAATTTTGATTACCTTATCTTCCGACGGTGGTTTTTCCGGACAATTCTAAAAATTCAATTTAAATTTAATTTTGCTGTTACGAAAATAAAATGATTACTAACTTAATAATAATAATAATAATTGTATTTTTTTCACTTACGGACAAATGATCCAAATAAACAACCATTCGTTCTTTATTTTTCAATATAAACGGATTGACTACTTCCATATACGGTTCCTTTCCACCGAATTCAATCAAATTAGCTAAATTTTGAAGGCATTTTGCAACCATAATCAACGATCTAAAAATTTTAAAAAAAATCTTTTAATGATTGATCTATTAAAAAAACCTAAACGACTCATAAAATTATTATTCAAATAATTTTTTTCGTAGTAAAAAAACCTTGAAGCCATTTGCGGAGGAGATTCAGGTATCAAATTAAACTGTCTAGGATTTAATAGAGCCGGACAAAGCAATCGTAGAAATATAAATCCGCTAACTACTCGAGTTTTGACTAGTCTTTCATTAGGCCATTTATTTACAACTGATCTTTGTAAACATCCGCATATGTACCTTAAAGTTCTAAAAAAAGAAAATAATATATATATGTGTAAAAATGTTATTTAATTAATTCATCGTAGACAATTTAGAACAAATTTCTTACTTTGGACAGGCGTCAGCCGAAGTGAAAATTGCGTGAGTCACTTCGTCTAATATTTGCAGAAGAAATTCTGCGTTTGAGCAAGCATCGTCGGGGGAATTCATTTTTGAGGGATTAAGCTAAAAACAAATTTCAAAATATTTTAAATCAATTTTTTTTTGACACGATACACGATTTTTTTCTTTAATTTAATTACGTACCTCGCAACTTTGCTTGGCTTCCAACAATTTAATAACTATTTCTTGTACGGAAGCTTGAAGGAAGCCATCGCAAATAGATTTCATATACAAATCCATTATTGTAGTCGTTAATGAAGCACCTCGAAACAAGGTAGACGTTTCTTCTTCCCTTTCTATTTCTAAATCGTTAAGTGACGTCATTAAATCAGCTTCTTTGTGTTTTGCCCTAATAAAAAAAAAATTTTTTTTTTTTTTTTTTTTAAATTCATATATATATATATATAAAATTCCTTACAATTAAAACTTTATTTTTATACCTGAATATTTTGAGTAAAGAATTGGCAAGGGGAAGACGATCTGAATGACAGATTTCAGCTAACGAACGTACTACTTCCAACGAAGGATCTAATATCAATTCTTGGAGAGGTGAATATTCTTCTTGAGGCATGATTAAATCGTGAACGTATTTAGTTTTAAGCTTAATCATCCCCCATTCTCCTATCGGTGTTATTCCAGAGAGCGTGTGCCAATCTTCTTTCTATAAATTTAGGAATAACAGTACTCATGGTAGACATTACTTAAAATTTATAAGAAATAAGGGGTTGTTAGGTAAACTCACTTCTTCGCCGTTTTTTAACGAATGCAATTCTTTTGTTATTTCTGACACTTCACTGTTTTTCGAGCGTTTTCCCTTATTATGAACAGAAACCGTAAAGGACAGAATATCAGGTGGAATGTCACTAAAATAATTATTTAAAGTAAAATAAAAAAAAAAAAATTAGTTTTTATAAACTATTTAAAAACTAAATTTATACTTTTTTAAGGAAAAAAAAATCTTTCTTACTCTAATATAAATTCCTCATCCCAAGTTGGATCGGGACCAGTCATAACCTTAGTTTTAGCGACTTTCACTTCATTCAATGAAATAACACAAAAAGGATTTGGTACTAATTTATGAGGTAAACGATGAGCAGATAAAACATTTATTTGAAGACATCTAATTTCACGTAATCTATCAACTTTGGATGGTTTTGCAAATTGTGTGATACAAAGTTGTTTTAAAGACGTGATCCATTCCTGAAAGAAAAAAAAATTATGATTATAAATAAATACAATAGAGTTAAAAAAAAACTTATTTAAAATAATACTAGAGTTTCAAATCTAACCTGAGTTGAATCTTCCGAGTTGGAAGATAAGTAAGTTATTGTTGACAGACAGGGTAAAGCTCTTTCTACTAATTGAAAACAATTTGGTTTTTCAAAAAGACTGTCATGAACATGATACAAATATGAACAATTCAAATCTATTAAACCTTTTGGCTTTGTACGCTAAAAAAAAAAAAAAAAACCATTTATAAAATATCAATATAAAAAGTTAATAATTAATACTTTCTTTAATTACAAATAACCCCTTTAAGTAAAAAAATGTAGATAAAAATGTTTACCTTAGGACTTTCATAAAAATACAAATGCGAATCCGTTCCCTCATTAAGCAATACAAAATACATTAATTTCCATCTTTTAGATTTATCACTCCTTTTTTGCAAATATCCTTGCAATTTAATTCCTTTGTTTTTTTTTAATCCAGATTGTTCGCGGCATTCTCTCAAAGTTTCATATATTTTATCCGCATGTTGTACTTCTTTTGGTGAAACCATAATTACCTGTCCATCAGATTCTGATAATTTCTGTAAGAAATTTATGTTTGAAAACAATTAAATTTAAAAAAAAAAATCTTTTTTATTATCAGAAATACAAATAAAAATTTCCGTAAAGATACAAAAAACTTCTTTTCTAATTTATAAAAACTATAAATTATTGAGTTTTAAAAAAAAATTCTTACTCTGCAGACTGGTAACATAAGAGTATGACCCTCAACAATTTGTTCTCTTCTGTATCTTTCAATCACTGCATCTAAGCAATCAAAAGTTCTACCACCCATTAAATACCTAACTCCTCTTTTTTCTATTCTAAACCTTTGAATTTGATTATTGATGTGATAAAATAATGAATAATCTCCTGGAGAGTTATCACTTGGTCTTACAAGAAAACTTCCAGGACCAGCTAAAACATGAAATAAAAAATTAGGAAATAATTTCTCAAACTTGTGATGAAAAAAAAAAAAAAAAAAAAAAAACCAAAAGAAGTTATTTGCCTTTGACAAGCATATCGATAGCTTCATTTTTAGGTATCTGTGGATGAAACCAGCTGTATACTGTATTAGGATCTATATTTTGATCTAAATCTTCAACTAACTCAGTAAAAATCATGCCCTGCTCTCCTGTTCGATGTGCTGTGACCCAAAGCCAGCCATCTCCCATATCATTGTGAACGAAAAATATTTCACCTTTTTCAAAACTGAAATAGAACATAAACTGTACTAAATGATTACAAGCAATTTAATTATAAATAAAATTTATAATTATTAAATAATTTTAATTGATTTATTATTATTATATTTTTTCAGTAAAATTTGTCTATAAATAATATCAATAAAATATTTTCTTACGTTAGCTCATCAGTATCTGGCATTTTTGAGTATGGTAAAATTGCAACCACTTTTTTTTTATCATTTACTGGAACTGGTGGTGGGACTGGAAATAATAGTCTTTCCCTTTTTAGTAAATCTGAACAATTTGTGTAAAAACTGATAAGGTCTGATAGGCAATCAAACTGACGTCCCCCTAAACAAAATTTAATCAGATTCATTTTTTTTAATTAAAAATAATTTTTAAATATAAATTAATTTTATTATACCAATATAAAAATCTCCACAAACAGCTGTAATTCTAAAATGATTGATGCCAGTTTTTCCCAAAAAAGAGAGAACATAAGATCCAGGTTTTCTATCGGATTCCCTAATCAAATAACTTCCTTGTCTTGAAGCTTGTGTCAAACGTTGTTCTGATGTGTAGCGATCTAACCTGCCATGGTACCACCTTGGAAAAAGCAACATTTGTCATTTAGGTGATAATAAAAAAACTTTTATTAAATGCTGAGCAAAGCCTAAACATTTTTGAATATCTACTGTTAAAAAAATATTAATTTTTTAATTTTATTCATTATACATTTTTTAAGATAAAAGAATATGCAATTATTTATATAAAATAGGGAGGTATGTAAAATTTATTATTTTAAATAATTTCTGACAACAAATTTTGAGTAATCTAATTATTCAGTTTAATTTTACTTCATTCAAAAAAAAAATTTTTGTAAATATAACTTATTGTAAGAATATTCAATAATTAATTGATTTTTGACTTAAAAAACTATAAAAATTATAAATTATATAAATTATAATAGTGAATTTTAATACAGAAAAACAATCGTAATCAGAATTAGTAAAATTTTTTTATAGCTAAGAATGATTCATACTTACTGTGATTCCCTAGGCAAGCTAGAATCACTTTCTTCTTCATCTTCTAAATCAGCTAAAAATGCATCTAAATCTTCTAAAGGTATACATGTTCGTCCCCCTACATTTTCTACAACAGGAGATTTAGAACGTCTTTCTCTACAATTACTTTTGTAAGAATTAAGTATTTGCGAATTATGAACACTATCCGCCATCTTTACTGTATAAGCAACTCTGTGTCTCTATGTTACTAAAAACAAGATTAAATTTAATATGATAGTCAAAAGGAATATTATTTTTGTTAATACTATAATTCACTTAATTAAAATTAAATATTAATTTTATAAAAATTTTTTTTTCGTTAAAAACTTGTTACACTAATTTTCTTAGCATTTTAATTATAATAATTTCGTTGTTTTTTTTTTTTTTTTGTTTTAAACTTTAAGTTAATCCCCGCCATTTTAATCTTAAAATAAAAAAGAATCAAAATAAGTATTAATTTCATTGTTTTTCTGTGTGAAACGTACAAAATCATTTCAATTTTATAAAATAAATATTTTTTGAAATAATAATTTAATAAAAAAGAAAATAATCAAATTTTATAAAATTAAATTTTTCGTTTCTAAGTTTGAGTGATAAATTATAGATTTTTTACAATTTTTTTTAAATTTTGAAGAATAAAATAAAAATTAATTAGAATTACCATTAAAATATTTATTCTAACATCTCAAACACTACAAAAAAAAAAAAAACAAAAATTAATTCAAAAATTTTGTCTGTTAAAATAATTTTTTAAATAAAATCAGTTAAGCACATATTTTGTTTTAACTTTAAACGGTGATAATTTAACCAATGATAGAATTTTCAGAAATTTTTTTTTATTTAATAAATTTATGGTTATTATTGGCACACAATTAAGTGAATAAAATGTATCCAGAGGAGATTCAATATTTTCCAAAAAGTAATTAATTAAGACAACTAATAAAAAAAAATAGTTGGTTGTAAATCCAGAAAGTGAGTCATAATGGTTTTGAAAGGTCTTTGGATTTTTGTAAAAATATTTTGCACGTGTTTAATTTAAAAACTTACAGTTTATGTTCTATTTGTTATTTGACCAAAAATCATACTTTAATTTTTTTTTTGGGGGGTGTTATTTGAATTTAAAATTTAAATAGTTTTAATAAATAAGTTTCTTGTAATAATTACCTTATGCATTACCTCATTTTTCTGCTTGGCAAACGTATTCACTACATAACAACTTAATAATTATTCATTTTTAAAGTTAAAATAATTCATTGATCATAATTAATTTTAAAATTAAAAAGTAGAAATTAAATTCAAACTAAAATAAAAACTTAATTTTTAAATAAAACTTTCGAAAAGTTGAATAATTTCGTACCTTTCGGATAGAACATTTGCGTTAATTCAAAATTTTTCCATATAACTTATATAAAATATATTTGAAAGAATAGAGTAGTGAATGAACGCGCACCAAAAAACCGTTAAAATCGGATAAACTTTAGCAAATCAAAAAAAAAAAAAATTATTTATTAACGGAATTGACAAGATAATATAATCTTAAATATAATATTTTTAAACTTTTTAAAACAAATGAAAGATCAAAAATATTTTTTTTTTTTTGGTGACATGATTAAATAAATTTAAATTAAATATATATATATGTATATTTATCATTTTATTGACCAATATAGTTAAATGTGATAACAATTTCTGTTTTCGTAAGGGCTTTTTTATATTGGATATTCAATCAAAACTAAAAAATAATAGTTTTGAAACAAGAACATTTAAAAAATTCTTAAATAATAATAATAAGAAAAAAAAAAAAATATATATACTATTAAAATATTTCAAAAAATGAAACCATTAGCAAAAATTAGTGTGCAATTACTAATTTTTTTTTTTTTTTTTTTTTTTTTGTTTTGTTTATTCACTAATTCTCGAACCTTTTTGATGACGTGTAAATCCGTCATCCTAAAGACAAAAAAAAAAAAACATTATCATCATCATCATTATTATTATTATTATTAAACAATTTACAAGCGCTGATAAAATAAATTGCAAATAAAAAACTTGTATCTTTATGTGTTTTGTAAAGCTGCATTTAATTTTTAAATCAACTCTAAAAACTCATCCAAAACTAATACAAATTAATATAATAACATATTATTTTTTTAATTTAAATAAAAAAAAAAAAAAGAAAAGAAATGTTTATCCGCGGTTAGTTTTCGGTTTTTTTTTTTTTTTTTTTTTTTTCATGTTTTGTACCATTATTTTCCTAAATTAAAAAATTTTTTTAATTTTTCTATTTAAAAACTTTAATTTCTGATTTAATTATTTGTATATAGCATTTTTGTTTTTGTTTTAATTATAAATCTGTTAATATGACATTATTTAAACAATAAAAACATACCCTTTTCCCTAATAATTAAATCACAGATAAAATTATATAAATTGCGCAAAAAAAAAAAAAAAATAATAATAATAATAATAAAAACCGTTATTAAAAACAACAATTATTAGCTTTTTAAGGAAATATGTGACTTAACTATGAAACTAAAAAAAAAAATCAATCTGAGGCATACACTTCAAATCAATGAATGTGTGAAATGACAGAAACAAAAACGTTTTTTTCTTTTTTTTTCTTTTTTTTTTTTTTTTTAATAAAAAGCTGCTGTAATACGCTTGAGAGTTTCCTTCTTGAACGCTTTTGACTGATCTAGATTATAGTTGAATTTTCACAAAGTTTCCGTTTGTTTGTTTGTTTTTTCCTCGTTGACGAAAAATTTGAACTCGGATTTTTAATCTGCCTGATTCTGTCTATTCAATAAGGCTGAAATAATAATTTAAAATTACTAAATATTAATATTGTTTTCATTCAAATGAACTTTTAAACAAAATTTTGTAAGGAGGTTTTACAATAAACTTTTTTTTATTTTAAATATCATTACAACATATATATATTTATTGTAAAAGTAAATAAATAACATTATACCTGTGAAAATTGAGGAGGGCCAGTAAAGAACCCCGAACGATCTCCTTGATACGTAGAGTCCTGAGACAATAAACCATCCATTTGTGATTGAAAGTCACCGACAATGCAACTTTCTTGTGACAGACTCAAACCCGGTTGAGACATTCCTTGCGACATTCCAGGTTGAGACATGACACCTTGACTGTAGGGTTGAGTAGCTTCTTGTGAAATCGTTAGCCCCTGGCTCAATCCACTTTTTTTGTTTATTTTATTATTTCGACTCACCACTTTATTTCGTTGATTTTGCCGAGCTGACGACACATTAATAATTTTTTTTTTAGAATAAAAATTTGAAAGAAATATTTTTAAATATTAGTGGATAAAAAATTTATTTACCTTGAGCAGCTTGCTGTAGGTTGTAAAATCTAGGAGGAACGTGCGACATGTTCATAAACATACCCATGGGAACTGGCATGTTAGCCATAGCAGCTTGAGCTCTTTCGGGAGATATATAATTCATTGGATCATGGGTGCGACCGTACAATTCCAAGCCCATTCCGGCTAAAAAAAAAATTTCTATTACTTTTTGAACCATAAAAAAAAAAAAAAAAAAAACATAATTTAATTTTAAAATAAGTAATACTTTGTCGCTGATAATAAGAATTTCCATTCATTTGTCCTGTTCTGTCGTATACCGATCCAGGTACGATAGCTTCCCTTGCATCGTACATGGTTGTACTCATGAAATGGGTTCCCGGGTTAGCAGAATTTACTAGTTTTTTAGGTTTAGCGAACTGAATAGCCGATTCTTTTAAATTATTTAACGGACCTTCAACTAAAACTTTTTGTTCTTTATAAAAGTTTAAAAGGTGATTCCATAGAGGTTGCTAAAATAATAATATTATTAAAATTAATAATATTAAGGAGTTGGAAATATTAATAAAAAGTATTTAATAGGATTCATTATTTATAAATAAAAAAAAAAAAAAAAAAAAACAATCGATACCTTGGATAAAACTTTTGGGTTTCCTATAATTATTATTCCATACTTGGCTCGCGTCAAAGCTACATTTAATCGTCTAGGATCATTAAGAAAACCAATACCTAAAAGTTCATTTGATCGAACGCAAGACATAATAATAATATCTTTTTCTCGTCCCTGAAAAGCGTCAACACTTGCGACTTCTATTTCTTGATATAATTTTGAATGTAAAGATCCTTGATATTGCATAAATTGAACCTAACAAAAAAAAAAAAAAAAACATTGCTCTAAAAGGACTCCAAGATATAAACTATTATTTATTTAAAAGGAAAAATTTCTAATATTTTTATTTTTTTCAAAACTTATTAGTAAAAAATTCATTTCTCACCAAATAAGCCCTTTGTCCCTCATAAGGTGTTATCAAACCAATCTGCTCCGGCTTAATACCAGCTCTTAAAAATTTGGTAACAATTTTTTCTACGTTAGACGCTTCTGTTCGATTTAAATAACTGGTTCCAGAACCGGCAATTTCTTCTTGACCAGTTGTCACATAAAAAAGCATTGGTTTATCGTTTGCAGGCCACGGAAAATCTACTTTGGCAAGTTTTCGCTCCTCTAAAATAGTTCAAATCGTAATAATAAAGTAAATCGCTATTATTTTTTCAAAAATAAGAAATTTTAAATTTTATTTATTACGTACCTGAACAAACACCATTTTGCAGCGAGCCTTCGTAAAAGAAATCAGAAGGAAATCGAGATAATTCAGGATGCATTCTATATTGAACCTCAAGGCGATAAGGCCTAATTCCAAGAACGACTAATCTCTCGAATAAAGATTGAGATAATCCGGCTCGGGCTGCTTTTTTGCACATTACTACAGGCCCAAGTTGACAATGGTCTCCTACTAATATGAGCTAAAAGTGAAAACAATTTTTTTTTTTTTTTTTTTTTGTTAGCTTTGTTTCAATATTTTTATTTGTTTCAAATATTAATTTTTTTTTACCTGACGAGCTCCCAAAACGACAGGAACCATGCATTCTGGTTCCGTACTCTGCATACTTTCATCAATAAGAATCGAATGAAATTTAAGACGCGCTAATCTAGGATCTCCAGCACCCACACAAGTACAACAAATTACATCTGCAGCTTCCAACATTTCTTTTTCTGAAGACTTTTTCAACATTCTGTATCGTTTTTCATCAGAACTAGACAATTCTCCTGTTTCATCTTTTAATTGTTGTAGTTTTTTTAGATCGGTGTTACTAAAATATTGAATTTGAAAAATGAATTTAAAGATTTTTAATGTTTAGCATGTTTAGTTTAAAAAATATAAAAAAACTGACCTGTCCATATTGCGAATTTGATTATGAAGCGCTAAAAAACTAACTGGAGAATCAATGGCTTCTCTACTTTTGGCGCAAAGACGTACAACTTTTAATCCCGTTCTATGAATTTTTTCGGTTAATTGATCAACTGCAATATTGCTCGGAGCACAAACAAGAACGGCTCCAGTGGGTTGTCGAGCTAAGTGATACACAATTGTTGCAGATGTAACAGTTTTCCCTGTACCAGGTGGACCTTGTATTAACGATAAAGGTCTTTGTAAAGCTTGTTTAACTGCGTAAACCTAAAACGTGAGAATATTATAATTTTTTAAAGAAAGAAAGAAATTGTTTTATCGAATAAAATAAGAAAATGTACTTTTATAGGGTTTGATTGTAATATTTATTGAAAACTATACAACTAAATACCTGCGATCTATTTAAATCAGGTAAATTAGGAGCAGAAAAATGTTTTGGTATTTGAACTCTAGATAGTAATACTTCCTCATAATCATGGCCCAATAAACGATGGTAAATATAACCGGATACAGAGGAATCATCGACTGCAAATTTGCGAAGACCAAGCTGCATTCTTTACAACACCAAAAAAAAAAATTATAAGTTTAGATTATTTATTTTTTAATAACTATATATTTAAGTTAATTTTATACCGGTCAAAAGATGTGGATTTCCAAACAAAATCTACAACAAAATTAGATGTACATTCTGTTGGGGCTCCAGCCCCCGATTTGAGCTCTATCCCAATTTCTTCACCATAATTGTCAGGTACTTTAATTACATGGCCAACTCCTGACCACTGTTTATGAAGTTCGCCCAAATAACGAAGGCGCAATTCATCTCCATGCATTAATTTCATATCTGCAATAATAATTTAATGAATATATATATATATATATATATATATATATATATATATATATATATATATATAATAATTATTTTCAAATAATTTAATAAGTATACTCTTTGAAAGTATAAACTTGCCTCCATCTTGTTTAGCAAGAGTAAAATAAGCTATAGTTTTTTTATTTAAACCAACATCCCAACGAACTTCAACATTATCTTGAGTTTGTGATTCTTTCAATTTTTTATCATAATCAGCTTCTAATTTAACAAGTGGTCCAAATATGTTTTGATATTGAAAGCCATCCTCGTATCTATGGAAATAAAGTTTTTAATTTAAAAAAAAAAAAATCTTAAAATTAAATTATCTCATTTTGAAAATAACATAATTTGAATAATCCTTTCACTCTTAAGTAAATATTTTTTAAAAGGTATGAAAATTTTTCAAAAAATTTACCCTGTCATAAATTATTTTAAATTCTTAGGTATTTTATTCGATTAATTTCATACTTGTCACCAAAAAAAAGAATTTGGCTTTTGGTTGAAACTTATTACTATAAAAAGTATTACTTATTACTATATATATATTAATACTATAAAAAGTAACTTTTCGGAACCTTTTAAAAGGTTTATCTTAAGCACTCTTAATAATTAATGAAAATAATCAACCAACCTTAATAATACTTGTTGAGGTTCTTCATCAACTCCTGGCTTTTCAAGATCTTGAAATGTAGCATCAACATTATCTTTCCACAATTCTTCAAGTTTGTTTATCTGAACTGCAGATATTTGTCTAGCACGAAGCTGTTCAGTTTCGGATGGAGATTTAACCAGCCAAGTCAAAAAACTGCGATCTAAAATTAAAGGTTTCCACTGCTCTTGTTCCCTATTAAAAACATAAAATTTAATTTAAATTTTTACCTCGGACTATAAAAAATGAAAATTAATTCACATACCAATTCATGTCCTTTAAAGAAGTTTGTGCAGCACAGGGCTGCCTACAAAGTAAAACCACAACTGAATCAGCTTTAGCAGGAATAAATCCCAAAACAAAAACATTTCTAACTCCACAAGCATAGCATTCTAAAACTGTTTCACCAAGAGGACCATCTTTATGAAGGGTTACTTCCTATTTGATACACCAAATTTTTGTATTACATGATCTTGAAGCAATTTTTATAAATAAATTGTCAATAATCAATTAATTATACCTTGTGCTTAGCTCTCACTAAATGATTTATTATGTGGGATCCAGATGTACTACCTCTGCCATTACAAAACCATTTTTTGCAGACATTACACATCACAACACAATTTGGGTCATGTATTCCACAATATTTGCAAGCGAATGCAGGTAGTTCTTTATTATAATATCCTTCTTCTTCTTCCTCCTCAAATTGTAAATCTCCCAAAGCATTTGTAACCGAATTAACTCCATTGTCAATTCCAATAACAGATGGTCCTCCTATTTTATTAACCTTAAGAAATAAAATAGACAGTCAAAATTTCAAGTAAATGTAAAATGTAAAAAAAGAAAACTTTAAATAAGTAAAATTATTCAAAAACAATAATAAATATGAAAAATATATAGTTGAATAAAAGTTGTTTCAAAACAATAGTTTTAAAAATATAAAACAAAGAATATATATACATATATTTTATATGTGTATGTATATGTTTAAATATATAGATAGTGCAGGAATTAGTAATATTTTATTAAATTGAAATTTTGCATTAAAATTAAGTCTCATTCATTAATTGATACATACTTATTTGAAATCAAATTCAGAAGTATTAGGGCTTATTTCAATTAAGAAAAATATTTATATTTTCATTACAACAAAAAACATAACACTTACTTAATAGAATATAAGAAATGCAAAAAAAACTTCTATTACAGCTTAGTCAATTATATTTTATAAAAAATAAATATTATTTTGTACCTTGATAGAAAATCAAAAACTATATACTCCTAAGGCAGGGAAGTAGTACTCACCCATGTGGGTATACTCTAGTTTTAACAGTCAACAAAAGATTATAAAAAAAAATTAAGGATACCTGGACTTGAGAAATTTGACTCGGACCTACGTCTAACTGAGAAGCTTGCGTTTGACTTTGAGATGGTAAAGTAAAATCGGTAAAATCAAACTCTGAACCCTGCGTGTCAGCTCCAATAAGATCAGCCTCTTCCGTATCCAAAAAAGTTAAAGTTTGAGAACTAGGGCCATATGTATCAACACTCATTTTTTTAAACTTAAATGAAGCAGAAATATTTTAGGAAACGAAGAATAATCAAATGAAACTAAATGGTACTTTAACATTCCCCAAAATCGGACTTCAATTGTTACAATTGACGAACGCCATACCAAAAATTTTTACGTCATCAACTTCGTGACACGGAAAAATTGTTGCGACAAATTTCGTTCAAGTTACGAATAACCCCCACCATGTGTATAATAAACAAATTCATATTTCAATGTTTTCATATTAAAAAAAAAAAAATATTGGGATTGAATTTTTTAAGGAATAATAAATAGACATATTGTTTCTTTAATTTTACTTTATTGCTTAATCATAAATCATTTTGCGCCGCTTTGGCTACTAGATCTTGAATCACGAAGAGAAGCTGATCGACGTCTTTTAACTTCTTCTTTATGCTTCATTTTGGCTTCCTTTTGTCTTTGCGCCAATAATTTAGCATAATCGGCAGCTTGTTCTTTTCTTCTTGCAATACGACGGCGGATCAAAGCAAAACGATGTCTTTTACGCTAAACGTATAATTTGAAATGTCAATAGATATATAATAAACATTTGTATAGGCATGGAATACATTCATGACATAAAAAATATAAATTACCTGAAGAACAGTGGGGGTGATAAGCCTTTGAATTTTAGGAGCTTTAAAGCGCTGTTTAGTTTTTCCCTCCTTCAGGGGTAAGGGTCTCTTAATAACAAATTGTTTAACATCGTCTTCTTTACTCAAGTTGAAAAGTTTACGAATCTTAGAAGCTCTTTTGGGACCTAGACGTCTGGGAACAGTAGAATCAGTTAATCCTGGTATTTCCTGTAAAATTAAATCATATATATGTACATATTTGTTTACAGATAACATAAAAATAACACTTATAGTTTCACTATATTATGAATAATTACTTGTTCTCCTTTTTTTTTAATTACAAGAGCCAGTACACTTAAATTACTGTCAACAATGCATCCTCTCACAGATTTTCTTTTTCTTTCTCCATCTCGACGAGGTCTGTAACACGAGTGGCCCTTTGAAAGAAGCAAACGTACTCTTCCTAGTTGAAAAAATAGTTCAGTAGAGTTTAATACAGCGAAATCATTTTTTTAAATAAATAATTGAAACTTAGAAATTTATATTTTTGAAATTTTAATTACCGTTTGTTAAGACCCCTTGTTTCATTGGAAAACCTTGCTTGTCATTTCCCCCCGAAATCCTTACAATGTAACCTTTCCATTCATCTCCCAGAGAATCTGCTTCAACTTCAGCTCCCATACGCTTGTCGTAGAAAACTCTGAGTTTATGCTCATCAGTGATCTCAATGAGTTTTTGACACCCAGTAGCAGGATAAGATATATTCAACTATAAAAAAAAAATTAGAGCTGCATTAGGCAAAGCAAATTAATGTTATTGCTTAGTTTAACCTTAAACATAGAAGTTTTAATCCGAAAAAATTAAAGCCATCTTAAATAATAATTAAATGGTGACAACAATTTACAATTTGTTTCACAATAAATAATTTGTAAAAGCATTTTTATGAGCTTATTGTAAATAAGTTATAATAACATACCTTCATTTTATTTTATTATTTAAAGTTTAAACGACATTGAATATATAACGTGGATTAAGTCACCGCCTTAATGGCAGAAACATGTGTATTCTAGAACCACGACTTTTATTACAAAGTTTTTTGTCACTGATTTTAAAATTACGAATACATTTTTTATTTGAAGAAATTTTTTTTATTTAATTAATTATAATTAAGGGTTTAAAACCTTTAAAACTTATTAAAATATTTTTAAAAATTTACTTTCAATACCGTCTCAAAAATTAATGACAGTATTTTAATGAATAAAATTAATAATAGAAATTGTAAAAAAAAAAAAAAAATTCAAATTTTTAAAATTAAATTTTGGTAAAAAATTTTTTAAATAAGTATTTTCGTTTTATATATATTCTAATTTTAAAATTATAAAATAACATAATTATCCTCTAAATAATTTTTTGGATTTTAATATATTTAATAAATAAAAAAAAAAAATTAATGTTAAAATTACAAAATTATTTATAAAATGTTAACTTTAAAAATATGCAATATTGGGAATATAATTAGGGAAAAATTAATTTTTTATATAAATTAAAATTTTTTTTTGTTTTAATTAAAAAAAATTTTTTTTCTGAAGTTTTTCCTGGCATTCAGGGGCAAAAGTGAAATATTTTTTTTTTTTATAGCAGACGACAGATATCTGCGCATGGATACATTTTTATTGATGAAAACCCTACCGTCTTGCGTTCTTTAATCTTTGTTTGGGTTGTGATTTTAATGTTCAAATGGGAGATCCATTGAACAATGTAATTATGTTTATAGTTTTTTTTTTTGTAGTCACTTAAATAATTAATATTTTTAATTAAACAATAATAATATTATAGAATAGTTTGATGTGAAAATGGAATGTCCACATTTAATAGAAAATGTTAAAATTGATATCATTTTAGGAGACAAAACGCAAGAATTAGGAAAGGATAAAGAGTGCGCAGGTAAACATAGTTCTTATCTGGCGTCGCGAACTGTCAAACTAAATCATTAACCATATTTGTTCACTAATTTTTAGTTTTCATCATATTAAATTAATTTTTTTTCGGTCAATAATAAATGTTTTAAAAATTCCCATTAAATAAAAAAATTTTTTTCCCTTTGTAAAATAAAAAAGTCATAGGGATAGGCCGTTGCAGTGGCATTATATGAAAGTAAGTCATTATTGATCAATTTTGACAATTTCGAATGCTATTGGTCTCTATCCTAAAAATAAAGTTTATTACTATCTTTATAAATTATTGCTAAAAAAATTTTACTAACATTTTAAAATTAAAATCAAACATATGATTTACAGATACAATTTTTTCAAATACTTAATTTTTTTCTTTCTTATTTTAAATTAATTATTTAGGGGGATGTATTTTTCAAAGGGAATTTTTAATGTTATAAAAAATCATTGATTATTTTTTTTATTTTGTTTAAAAAAACAATTTTATTTAAAATTTTTGTTATAATAAGATTTTTAAAATTACTATTTGCTTTTTAAAAAATAGTAAAATATTTAATAATATATTTAATATAAAATATTTTATTATTAAATATATTAACATAAATATTTAATAGTAAACTGTTTTATAATTTAATTTCAAAATGTCTTTATAATAAATGCTTTATATATTTCATAAAAGTGCATTAAATCGTAACAACCATATAAAAAATATAATTTTGGTAAAAATTTTAAAAATCTTTAATGATGTGTACATGCTATAAATTACACACTTGTTACGAATAAGCAAAGTAAATATTTTTACAATTTTAGGAATTTTTGTTCGTAAATCAGATTTACTTTAATTATTTAAGTTTTATTGGTCTAAAATTAAAATAAGCTACAAATTTTTAATAAGCACCCTGACACTAATAGATCAATAAATAAAATAAATTATTTATCATTAAAAAATTTTATTTAGAGTGAAAATAAATTTTTTTTAGAATTTATTTATTTATTTAATTATTTTTAACTTTATATTTTATAAATAAATAATATTATTTATAATTTAGATTTTAAACATATGTTATATAAATGAATTATGTAATCATATACTGTCATTATTTTAAGAAGAAAAAAAACAGGGGGGGGGAGGGGTTTGCACTTTTAAAAATATATCAATTTATAATTAATTGTAAAATAATTTAATTACTCGATTTATTTAAGAGCTCATAAAAATTAGGTAATTTAACATTTAGAGTTTTCAATTTTATTATACACATAATTTTAAAATAATTTCTTAATAATAATGAATAAAAATAATAATAATTAAGTAAGCAAGTAATATAATTACAGTTTTTTTTTTTTTATTTTTGTATATAATAAAAATTATTTAGCCAGGGGATTTATTTAAAGAATAATATTTGAATGCAATTAGTGTATGTTTGTACAGAAGAAAATTGACTTTTTTTTTTTTTTTTCTAAATACACAAGAGAAATTTTTATTGTAAGATAAATAATCATTATTTTTTAAAAACATTTAAAAAAAAAAAAGAAATATTTAATTTTGTGCGTGTAAATATTTAAAAGGTATATTTCTTTCTAGTATGTTCTAATGAAATTAACCCCTGGCTGTGTCTGTATTGTGGTCTCATTCATTGTGGAAGATATGTGAATGGCCACGCTCGAGAACACTCGATTAAAGCGAAACAGCATTGTGTGTGCATGGATGTAGAAAATTATTCGGTTTTTTGGTAAGGAAAAACTTTTTTTTCCATTTTTACTGGTTTTTAAAAAAAAATTGTTTTGAAAATTTTAAATGAAAAAGAAAAATGTGTTGTAATAATTAGTGTCATTCCCCCTGTGAATTACAATTACAAAATACTCGTCATAAGGAAAAAATTAAAAAGAATCTTGTTTTTTTTTTTTTTTGTTTCAGTTACGTATGCGATGAATATGTAAATAACGACGCTGAAAATAAAGATATCAGTAGAATTCGTCAAATTTTAAGAGATCGAAAACAAAGGGAACCCGATTCAGAGTCTTTGGAAAATGATGAAGTTGGAGAATTTAATAATTCTTCGACTCCAAATTCATTAATAGATGACGACCAAGCATCTTGGAAGTCAGGAAATTCAGATTTATTAGGAAGAGAAACACAAGAAAATTCAAGGTCACTTAGGCCACGTTTTAGAAAACGGTAATTACATTGTTTTAAAAAATAAAAAAATTGACTTTTAAATTAATAATAATAATATAACAAATGTGACTTGTTAAAACTATATTGGGAAAATAATTAAATTTTTTTTTTTTTAAAATGATTTGCTCTAAAAAGTTAAAAAAAAAACTTATAGTTTGTATTTTGTAGATCTCATTCCAATGATAGCTGTAATGAAAACACAACTAAAATCCATTGCACTAGACCTCGACCATCTAGAGAAAAGAAAACTCCGTTGGTGGGTCTACGAAATTTGGGAAATACATGTTTTATGAATGCCGTTTTGCAGTCTCTGAGGTAACCTTTTTTTTTTTTTTAAATCAAATCGAATCGATTGTAATATGCTTTTAAAAGATTTCTATTTCATTTTATTATTTTATCATCCGAGTAATATTATGTAACTGTGAACAAAATGCATTGCCTGCATTAATTTTTCTTTTTTTTTTTTCCAGTAATATTCAAGAGTTTTGCCTCTACTTCAAACAGCTTCCATCACTTGAGCGTAACACAAATGGTCGAAAGGTATATCATTCAACGAGGAGTATTAAAGAAATAAGCGAAGAATTAATTGCTGAAGAACTTCGAAAAGTTTTGATAAGTTTGAATCAGGGTGATGGTAAAGAAGCCATATCACCGAATGAATTATTTTCCGCTATATGGAAAGTGGTGCCTCGTTTTAGGTGAGGAGGCATTCTTCACATTGTACCCTTTTTTTTTTTTTTTTTTTTTTTGGTTTTTAAAATTATAAATTGTAGTAATTCTAATGATGTAATTTTAGAGGTTACCAGCAACAAGATGCTCATGAATTTTTGCGATACATGCTTGATAGACTCCACACCGAACTACTTAGCTTACTACCCGATGAAACATTACGGGATAGTCAGT